CAGAAACCCAGACCCAAAAAACATGGCTTTATCGAGGAAATACCAAAGAGACGCACTCTGGGTCTTAGGAGTGCAGCTATGTTGGACAGCACGGTACGGCCTGGCATGGTACGGCAAACCCACGGTACGGCCTGCCACGGTACGGCCTGCCACGGTACGGCCTGCCACGGTACGGCCTGCCACGGTACGGCCTGCCACGGTACGGCCTGCCACGGTACGGCCTGCCACGGTACGGCCTGCCACGGTACGGCCTGCCACGGTAGTCACATTCTCTTTCAATAACTGACGGAAAAACAAAATATTATGCGTTTATGTCTGAGTTCTCCGTCTTAAAGGAGATCCAATGTTCTATATGGTCCACCAGGATTTGTTATCGTGACAGGCCTACAACATTAAGTTTGTCCATGCCGTGTTGCCGTACCGGACCGTCCAAGATGGCCGCCTCGCAGCCCACACACGGTGGAGACACCCGGTGCAGATGTATTTTTGTTGCGTGTTACTTTCAGGCAGAACAAACGGCCGGAGCCAAAGATGAAGCCATTCGTTTGAGCTGATCAGGCTACAGGCCAGGAGGGGGCGGGGCCAGGGGTTAGGGGGGCGGGGCCAAGGGGGAGGAGCCAGTGGACGGGGCGGGGCTGGAAAAAATGGCGGCCAATGGGCTCTTTTCACTGCGGTTGTTTTTTCGCAATGACATGTCAAGATCTGAGCAGCACGAAAGAGTGTTCTGTGTCATGATGCTAACGGCTACACGCTAGCAGATAGTTCCTCAGTCCCCATCGGTCTCAAAGGTCTACAGGTAGTTCCTCATCGGTCTCAAAGGTCTACAGATAGTTCCTCAGTCCCCATCGGCCTCAAAGGTCTACAGATAGTTCTTCATCGGTCTCAAAGGTCTACAGATAGTTCCTCATCAGTCTCAAAGGTCTACAGATAGTTCCTCGTGGGTCTCAAAGGTCTACAGATAGTTCCTCATCGGTCTCAAAGGTCTACAGATAGTTCCTCATGGGTCTCAAAGGTCTACAGATAGTTCCTCATCGGTCTCAAAGGTCTACAGATAGTTCCTCATCGGTCTCAAAGGTCTACAGATAGTTCCTCATGGGTCTCAAAGGTCTACAGATAGTTCCTCATCGGTCTCAAAGGTCTACAGATAGTTCCTCATCAGTCTCAAAGGTCTACAGATAGTTCCTCATGGGTCTCAAAGGTCTACAGATAGTTCCTCATCGGTCTCAAAGGTCTACAGATAGTTCCTCAAAGGTCTACAGATAGTTCTTCATCGGTCTCAAAGGTCTACAGATAGTTCCTCATCGGTCTCAAAGGTCTACAGATAGTTCCTCATCGGTCTCAAAGGTTTACAGATAGTTCCTCATCGGTCTCAAAGGTCTACAGATAGTTCCTCATCGGTCTCAAAGGTCTACAGATAGTTCTTCATCGGTCTCAAAGGTCTACAGATAGTTCTTCATCAGTCTCAAAGGTCTACAGATAGTTCCTCATCGGTCTCAAAGGTCTACAGATAGTTCCTCATCAGTCTCAAAGGTCTAGAGATAGTTCTTCATCTGTCTCAAAGGTCTACAGATAGTTCCTCGTGGGTCTCAAAGGTCTACAGATAGTTCCTCATGGGTCTCAAAGGTCTACAGATAGTTCCTCATCGGTCTCAAAGGTCTACAGATAGTTCCTCATCGGTCTCAAAGGTCTACAGATAGTTCCTCATCGGTCTCAAAGGTCTACAGATAGTTCCTCATCGGTCTCAAAGGTCTACAGATAGTTCCTCATCAGTCTCAAAGGTCTACAGATAGTTCTTCATCGGTCTCAAAGGTCTACAGATAGTTCCTCATCAGTCTCAAAGGTCTACAGATAGTTCTTCATCGGTCTCAAAGGTCTACAGATAGTTCCTCATCGGTCTCAAAGGTCTACAGATTGTTCCTCATCGGTCTCAAAGGTCTACAGATAGTTCCTCATCGGTCTCAAAGGTTTACAGATAGTTCCTCATCGGTCTCAAAGGTCTACAGATAGTTCCTCATCGGTCTCAAAGGTCTACAGATAGTTCTTCATCGGTCTCAAAGGTCTACAGATAGTTCTTCATCAGTCTCAAAGGTCTACAGATAGTTCCTCATCGGTCTCAAAGGTCTACAGATAGTTCCTCATCAGTCTCAAAGGTCTAGAGATAGTTCTTCATCTGTCTCAAAGGTCTACAGATAGTTCCTCGTGGGTCTCAAAGGTCTACAGATAGTTCCTCATGGGTCTCAAAGGTCTACAGATAGTTCCTCATCGGTCTCAAAGGTCTACAGATAGTTCCTCATCGGTCTCAAAGGTCTAGAGATAGTTCTTCATCTGTCTCAAGGTCTACAGATAGTTCCTCGTGGGTCTCAAAGGTCTACAGATAGTTCCTCATGGGTCTCAAAGGTCTACAGATAGTTCCTCATCGGTCTCAAAGGTCTACAGATAGTTCCTCATCGGTCTCAAAGGTCTACAGATAGTTCCTCATCGGTCTCAAAGGTCTACAGATAGTTCCTCATCGGTCTCAAAGGTCTACAGATAGTTCCTCATCAGTCTCAAAGGTCTACAGATAGTTCTTCATCGGTCTCAAAGGTCTACAGATAGTTCCTCATCAGTCTCAAAGGTCTACAGATAGTTCTTCATCGGTCTCAAAGGTCTACAGATAGTTCCTCATCGGTCTCAAAGGTCTACAGATTGTTCCTCATCGGTCTCAAAGGTCTACAGATAGTTCCTCATCGGTCTCAAAGGTTTACAGATAGTTCCTCATCGGTCTCAAAGGTCTACAGATAGTTCCTCATCGGTCTCAAAGGTCTACAGATAGTTCTTCATCGGTCTCAAAGGTCTACAGATAGTTCTTCATCAGTCTCAAAGGTCTACAGATAGTTCCTCATCGGTCTCAAAGGTCTACAGATAGTTCCTCATCAGTCTCAAAGGTCTAGAGATAGTTCTTCATCTGTCTCAAAGGTCTACAGATAGTTCCTCGTGGGTCTCAAAGGTCTACAGATAGTTCCTCATGGGTCTCAAAGGTCTACAGATAGTTCCTCATCGGTCTCAAAGGTCTACAGATAGTTCCTCATCGGTCTCAAAGGTCTACAGATAGTTCCTCATCGGTCTCAAAGGTCTACAGATAGTTCCTCATCGGTCTCAAAGGTCTACAGATAGTTCCTCATCAGTCTCAAAGGTCTACAGATAGTTCTTCATCGGTCTCAAAGGTCTACAGATAGTTCCTCATCAGTCTCAAAGGTCTACAGATAGTTCTTCATCGGTCTCAAAGGTCTACAGATAGTTCCTCATCGGTCTCAAAGGTCTACAGATTGTTCCTCATCGGTCTCAAAGGTCTACAGATAGTTCCGCATCGGTCTCAAAGGTCTACAGATAGTTCTTCATCAGTCTCAAAGGTCTACAGATAGTTCTTCATCGGTCTCAAAGGTCTACAGATAGTTCTTCATCGGTCTCAAAGGTCTACAGATAGTTCCTCATCGGTCTCAAAGGTCTACAGATAGTTCCTCATCAGTCTCAAAGGTCTACAGATAGTTCCTCATCAGTCTCAAAGGTCTACAGATAGTTCCTCATCGGTCTCAAAGGTCTACAGATAGTTCCTCATCGGTCTCAAAGGTCTACAGATAGTTCTTCAGTCCTCATCGGTCTCAAAGGTCTACAGATAGTTCCTCATCAGTCTCAAAGGTCTACAGATAGTTCCTCATGGGTCTCAAAGGTCTACAGATAGTTCCTCATCGGTCTCAAAGGTCTACAGATAGTTCTTCATCAGTCTCAAAGGTCTACAGATAGTTCCTCATCAGTCTCAAAGGTCTACAGATAGTTCCTCATCGGTCTCAAAGGTCTACAGATAGTTCTTCAGTCCTCATCGGTCTCAAAGGTCTACAGATAGTTCCTCATCGGTCTCAAAGGTCTACAGATAGTTCTTCATCGGTCTCAAAGGTCTACAGATAGTTCTTCAGTCCTCATCGGTCTCAAAGGTCTACAGATAGTTCTTCATCGGTCTCAAAGGTCTACAGATAGTTCCTCCTCAGTCTCAAAGGTCTACAGATAGTTCCTCATCGGTCTCAAAGGTCTACAGATAGTTCCTCATCAGTCTCAAAGGTCTACAGATAGTTCTTCATCGGTCTCAAAGGTCTACAGATAGTTCCTCATCGGTCTCAAAGGTCTACAGATAGTTCTTCATCGGTCTCAAAGGTCTACAGATAGTTCCTCATCGGTCTCAAAGGTCTACAGATAGTTCTTCATCGGTCTCAAAGGTCTACAGATAGTTCCTCGTGGGTCTCAAAGGTCTACAGATAGTTCTTCAGTCCTCATCGGTCTCAAAGGTCTACAGATAGTTCCTCATCAGTCTCAAAGGTCTACAGATAGTTCCTCATCGGTCTCAAAGGTCTACAGATAGTTCCTCATCGGTCTCAAAGGTCTACAGATAGTTCTTCAGTCCTCATCGGTCTCAAAGGTCTACAGATAGTTCCTCATCGGTCTCAAAGGTCTACAGATAGTTCTTCATCGGTCTCAAAGGTCTACAGATAGTTCTTCAGTCCTCATCGGTCTCAAAGGTCTACAGATAGTTCTTCATCGGTCTCAAAGGTCTACAGATAGTTCCTCCTCAGTCTCAAAGGTCTACAGATAGTTCCTCATCGGTCTCAAAGGTCTACAGATAGTTCCACATCGGTCTCAAAGGTCTACAGATAGTTCCTCATCCGTCTCAAAGGTCTACAGATAGTTCCTCATCGGTCTCAAAGGTCTACAGATAGTTCTTCAGTCCTCATCGGTCTCAAAGGTCTACAGATAGTTCCTCATCAGTCTCAAAGGTCTACAGATAGTTCCTCATCAGTCTCAAAGGTCTACAGATAGTTCCTCATCGGTCTCAAAGGTCTACAGATAGTTCCTCATCGGTCTCGGTCGACTCTCAAACACAGAACACTCTTTGTGAGAAATATAGACACAATTTTTAAAAAAGGTAAAACTTTGTGATTTTGAGATTTTTTTAGACGTCATGTGAAAAATGTCAAAACGACACGACTCGTCCCGACCGTCTCAAACTTTTGGATTTCTACTTCCTGTTCTATTTCCTGTTCTACTTCCTGTTCTACTTCCTGTTCTATTTCCTGTTCTACTTCCTGTTCTACTTCCTGTTCTATTTCCTGTTCTACTTCCTGTTCTACTTCCTGTTCTATTTCCTGTTCTATTTCCTGTTATACTTCCTGTTCTATTTCCTGTTCTACTTCCTGTTTAACAGACTGTCAAATCACAAACGTTTTTATAAATGTAATCGTTTCATCATATCATAATCGTTCATGTGGATCTAAACGCTGTTGATGCTAGTATGAATATTGCTAGCGACATTAGGCTAGCATTGCATCTAATTATTATAACAATCAGAACCAGAATCAGGAACTCACAGACTAGGAAATGACTTTGGCCCTTGGTAATAATAACAATAATAATAATAATAATAATAATAATCTGATCTTTAACTTTACTTAAACATGAAAACTAAACATTGTCTACTTGTTTCCGAGATAGTTAGCTCGAGTTAGCTACGATAGCATCACTCTACACTCTCTTTGATCAGAACCAGATTTTAAGTGTATTAAAACATCCAAATGTGTTTACAACAAATCTGTACTGGCACAAAACTACTGTTACTCAAGTGCTTCAAAAATAAAATAATAATAAATAGTTTTACGGCTTATTTAAAGCAGCTATAGTTCTTGTGATGCTAACGTTAGCGGTGACAGGATAAGTCTGAGCAAGTTTGAGACAGCGGGAACAAGCCCGAGTGGGTTTTTAGTAGAATCTTATCGATACTTTGTGGACGGCAACAGTAACGCAGTGGGACGTACTGGAGGTGTGGGGTCAGGGGTCATGGGGGGGTCATGGGGGTTATCGGTGCTTATGAACGATGAACCCAAAGATAAAGCAAAACAAAGAGACCAGAGTTTGTCCAATCCCAGACCAAACCCAGACCAGAACCAGGACTTTAAAAACCAAGAACCAGCCAACTCCATTCATCTCTGCAGTGGTTCAGACACATGCCTCTGTCAGGGGAGCTAGCTTCTCCATAGCTAGCGAGTTAGCGAAAGGGAAGCTAGTCTGTACTTCCTGTACCTCTCACACGGGTTTTCAGACCGACACAAAGTCCATGTTTGTAGGTCCGCTTTAAAGAACTCACAGAATACGGCGGGCTGCGGCCGATGACTCTGAAAGCTAAAGTTGTTGACATTATCCCGGATAAACCAGGAAAAGGAGTAGAACAAGTGCCTCTGTCGCTAAGCTAATGCTAACACAAATAAGGTTCATCGGCCAAAAAAACGGGCCTCTATCTAGAGTTGTGTCCATAGAAACTGTTATCTATGTTGGAGATGTATATTAGCTTAGCATTAGCTTCTGTTATCTATGTTGGAGATGTATATTAGCTTAGCATTAGCTTCTGTTATCTATGTTGGAGATGTATATTAGCTTAGCATTAGCTTCTGTTATCTATGTTAAGATATTTCTATTAGCTTAGCATTAGCTTCTGTTATCTATGTTGGAGATGTATATTAGATTAGCATTAGCTTCTGTTATCTATGTTGGAGATTTATATTAGCTTAGCATTAGCTTCTGTTATCTATGTTGGAGATTTCTATTAGCTTAGCATTAGCTTCTGTTATCTATGTTGGAGATTTCTATTAGCTTAGCATTAGCTTCTGTTATCTATGTTAAGATATTTCTATTAGCTTAGCATTAGCTTCTGTTATCTATGTTAAGATATTTCTATTAGCTTAGCATTAGCTTCTGTTATCTATGTTAAAGCTTTCTGTTAATATAGATAAGAGAAGCTGATGCTAAGCTAAGAAATCTATATTAGCTTAGCATTAGCTTCTGTTATCTATGTCAGAGCTTTATATTAGCTTAGCATTAGCTTCTGTTATCTATGTTAAGATATTTCTATTAGCTTAGCATTAGCTTCTGTTATCTATGTTGGAGATTTATATTAGCTTAGCATTAGCTTCTGTTATCTATGTTAAGATATTTCTATTAGCTTAGCATTAGCTTCTGTTATCTATGTCAGAGCTTTCTATTAGCTTAGCATTAGCTTCCGTTATCTATGTCAGAGCTTTCTATTAGCTTAGCATTAGCTTCCGTTATCTATGTCAGAGCTTTCTATTAGCTTAGCATTAGCTTCAAGATGCTAAATCCTACGTTTGAAACCCGTCTTTGGGGTGAAGTATTTGCGTCTGTGATTTCCCGCCGTAGCCGCCGTTTGCTGCGTGTTCTCTACGTTATGATTGGATCGAAGACGTCGGTGTGAAAACCTCTACGTTATGATTGGATCGAAGACGTCGGTGTGAAAACCCGCTCTAGAGATACAAAGATCAAAGACTTCGAACCTCAGAACACTTTTATTTTGATGTTTCTTTTTGGACAAACTGCAGCTCTCAGGCGACACACTGACACGGCTCGGTATTAAACCCTTTCTGATAGCGCACAAGCTAATCGGCTAATCGGCTAACGAGCTAACATGCTAACAAGCTAACATGCTAACAAGCTAAGAGGCTATTATTAATACACCTAATTTCAGACACATTCACTATGCAAAACATACTTTGGACTGACTGACAAGTAAGCTAGGCTAAGTAGCTAACAGGCTAATTAGCTAACAAGCTAAAAGGCTAATATTACGCAGGATATTATAAAGTTATTACAGGAAAAAGAGTTATAAGTTTACTTGCTAACTGACAAACTAAAACCTAAAAAAGGCTAACAACAGGCTAAAGAAGCTACGAGTTAACCTGCTAATGAGCTAATAGGCTAAACGAGCTAACAAGCTAATAGGCTAATGAGCTAACAGGCTAATAGGCTAAACGAGCTAACAAGCTAATAGGCTAATGAGCTAACAAGCTAATAGGCTAATGAGCTAACAGGCTAATAGGCTAAACGAGCTAACAAGCTAATAGGCTAATGAGCTAACAAGCTAATAGGCTAATGAGCTAACAGGCTAACACAGCGCTGTCCCTGTACTTCTGAAGCATGTCAGTAGTGCCATGCCGGTCCATGCAGGGCCAAGTCTCGTGTTTGGGTCATGCACAGCTCAGGCGCACTGCGTTTCCAGGGCGACCAGCGGCTCCACACTGCCCCCGCTGGACGCTCTGGGAATGACAGGCTTGATCTGCAGAAAACAGCCATTTTAAAACCAAGACCGCCTCTCCACCATCGACACATTCCATGGACCAAAACCAGGACCAGACTGAGACCAAAGCAGGACCAGACTGGGACCAAACCAGGACCAGACTGAGACCAAACCCGGACCAGACTGGGACCAAACCAGGACCAGACTGAGACCAAACCAGGACCAGACTGAGACCAAACCAGGACCAGACTGAGACCAAACCAGGACCAGACTGGGACCAAAGCAGGACCAGACTGAGACCAAACCAGGACCAGACTGAGACCAAACCAGGACCAGACTGAGACCAAAGCAGGACCAGACTGGGACCAGACCAGGACCAGACTGAGACCAAAGCAGGACCAGACTGAGACCAAACCAGGACCAGACTGAGACCAAACCAGGACCAGACTGGGACCAAAGCAGGACCAGACTGAGACCAAACCCGGACAAGACTGAGACCAAATCAGGACCAGACTGAGACCAAACCAGGACCAGACTGAGACCAAACCAGGACCAGACTGGGACCAGACCAGGACCAAACTGGGACCAGACCAGGACCAAACTCGGACCAGACTAGAACCAGATTAGGACCTGAGGAACAGCAGCAGACCTGAGGACCTGTGAGGCACCACCCAGCAAGACCATCCCCGATTGGTCCAAAGGTCAGGGATGCATCATGTGACCTGCACCATGTGACCTGCACCATGTGACCTGCATCATGTGACCTGCACCATGTGACCTGCATCATGTGACCTGCACCATGTGACCTGCACCATGTGACCTGCACCATGTGACCTGAGGAGGTGCTTGGGTTTCCTCTCATCTGTTAGAGAGGAGGAGCCCACACAGACACCGGGAGAACACGCAAACTCTATAACTGCTGCCATGTTTGGTCGCCTGGCAACCATCAGTCTATGGCAGTTTTAGCATCTAGATACTATAGCAACAGACGTTAGCTTTAGCCTGAGCCGGTTAGCGCTGTCTGGGAAAGAACAGCTTTGATCTCAGAGTCACTCAGAGCTGATTGGCCAAGAGCCCGTCTGTCCCCACCTGGTACTGAGAGCAAAGAACCAGTGAGATGAAGGTTCCCCAGGTCCAGCTGTGCCCTCTGGTCTCTCTCTGGTCTCTCTCTCTCTGGTCTCTCTCTGGTCTCTCTCTGGTCTCTCTCTGGTCTCTCTCTGGTCTCTCTCTGGTCTCTCTCTGGTCTCTCTCTGGTCCCTCTCTGGTCTCTCTCTGGTCTCTCTCTGGTCTCTCTCTGGTCCCTCTCTGGTCCCTCTCTCTGGTCTCTCTCTGGTCTCTCTCTGGTCCCTCTCTCTGGTCTCTCTCTGGTCTCTCTCTGGTCCCTCTCTGGTCCCTCTCTCTGGTCTCTCTCTGGTCTCTCTCTGGTCTCTCTCTGGTCTCTCTCTGGTCTCTTTCTCTGGTCTCTCTCTCTGGTCTCTCTCTGGTCTCTCTCTGGTCTCTCTCTCTGGTCTCTCTCTGGTCTCTCTCTGGTCTCTCTCTGGTGTCTCTCTCTGGTCTCTCTCTGGTGTCTCTCTGGTCTCTCTCTGGTCTCTCTCTGGTCTCTTTCTCTGGTTTCTCTCTGGTCTGGCCTCTCTCTCTCTGGTCTCTCTCTGGTCTCTCTCTCTGGTCTCTCTCTGGTCTCTCTCTGGTCCCTCTCTGGTCCCTCTCTTTCTGGTGTCTCTCTGGTCTCTCTCTGGTCTCTCTCTGGTCTCTCTCTGGTCTCTTTCTCTGGTCTCTCTCTCTGGTCTCTCTCTGGTCTCTCTGGTCTGGCCTCTCTCTCTCTGGTCTCTCTCTGGTCTCTCTCTCTGGTCTCTCTCTGGTCTCTCTCTGGTCCCTCTCTGGTCCCTCTCTCTGGTCTCTCTCTGGTCTCTCTCTGGTCTCTCTCTGGTCTCTCTCTGGTCTCTCTCTGGTCTCTTTCTCTGGTCTCTCTCTCTGGTCTCTCTCTGGTCTCTCTGGTCTGGCCTCTTTCTCTGGTCTCTCTCTGGTCTCTCTCTGGTCTCCCCTCTGATCCCCTCTGGTCTCCTTCTTGGTCTCCCCTCTGGTCTCCTTCTGGTCTCCCCTCTGCCCCTCTGGTCTCCTTCTGGTCTGTGTTGATGGTGGAGACGGCGGCGGCACCAGGCGGACCTCACCATCGTTCTGAGCTCCTTGAAAACCTTACGACTCACAACAAATCCTGAGCGTGACAAAACCCTCCCAGAGTTCCCCTACGGACAGACCACAGCGTTACACACACACGGCCAGCAGGGGGCGCCCCTACGGACAGACCACAGCGTTACACACACACACGGCCAGCAGGGGGCGCCCCTACGGACAGACCACAGCGTTACACACACACGGCCTGCAGGGGGCGCCCCTACGGACAGACCACAGCGTTACACACACACGGCCAGCAGGGGGCGCCCCTACGGACAGACCACAGCGTTACACACACACACAGCCAGCAGGGGGCGCCCCTACGGACAGACCACAGCGTTACACACACACGGCCAGCAGGGGGCGCCCCTACGGACAGACCACAGCGTTACACACACACGGCCAGCAGGGGGCGCCCCTACGGACAGACCACAGCGTTACACACACACACGGCCAGCAGGGGGCGCCCCTACGGACAGACCACAGCGTTACACACACAGGCCAGCAGGGGGCGCCCCTACGGACAGACCACAGCGTTACACACACACACGGCCAGCAGGGGGCGCCCCTACGGACAGACCACAGCGTTACACACACACACGGCCAGCAGGGGGCGCCCCTACGGACAGACCACAGCGTTACACACACACGGCCAGCAGGGGGCGCCCCTACGGACAGACCACAGCGTTACACACACACACGGCCAGCAGGGGGCGCCCCTACGGACAGACCACAGCGTTACACACACACGGCCTGCAGGGGGCGCCCCTACGGACAGACCACAGCGTTACACACACACGGCCAGCAGGGGGCGCCCCTACGGACAGACCACAGCGTTACACACACACGGCCAGCAGGGGGCGCCCCTACGGACAGACCACAGCGTTACACACACACGGCCAGCAGGGGGCGCCCCTACGGACAGACCACAGCGTTACACACACACACAGCCAGCAGGGGGCGCCCCTACGGACAGACCACAGCGTTACACACACACGGCCAGCAGGGGGCGCCCCTACGGACAGACCACAGCGTTACACACACACGGCCAGCAGGGGGCGCCCCTACGGACAGACCACAGCGTTACACACACACACGGCCAGCAGGGGGCGCCCCTACGGACAGACCACAGCGTTACACACACACGGCCAGCAGGGGGCGCCCCTACGGACAGACCACAGCGTTACACACACACACGGCCAGCAGGGGGCGCCCCTACGGACAGACCACAGCGTTACACACACACACGGCCAGCAGGGGGCGCCCCTACGGACAGACCACAGCGTTACACACACACGGCCAGCAGGGGGCGCCCCTACGGACAGACCACAGCGTTACACACACACACGGCCAGCAGGGGGCGCCCCTACGGACAGACCACAGCGTTACACACACACGGCCAGCAGGGGGCGCCCCTACGGACAGACCACAGCGTTACACACACACACGGCCAGCAGGGGGCGCCCCTACGGACAGACCACAGCGTTACACACACACACGGCCAGCAGGGGGCGCCCCTACGGACAGACCACAGCGTTACACACACACGGCCAGCAGGGGGCGCCCCTACGGACAGACCACAGCGTTACACACACACACGGCCAGCAGGGGGCGCCCCTACGGACAGACCACAGCGTTACACACACACACCCAGCAGGGGGCGCCCCTACGGACAGACCACAGCGTTACACACACACACGGCCAGCAGGGGGCGCCCCTACAGACAGACCACAGCGTTACACACACACACGGCCAGCAGGGGGCGCCCCTACGGACAGACCACAGTGTTACACACACACACGGCCAGCAGGGGGCGCCCCTACGGACAGACCACAGCGTTACACACACACACGGCCAGCAGGGGGCGCCCCTACGGACAGACCACAGCGTTACACACACACACGGCCTGCAGGGGGCGCCCCTACGGACAGACCACAGCGTTACACACACACGGCCAGCAGGGGGCGCCCCTACGGACAGACCACAGCGTTACACACACACACGGCCAGCAGGGGGCGCCCCTACGGACAGACCACAGCGTTACACACACACACGGCCAGCAGGGGGCAGCAGGGGGCGCCCTCAGAGCCCTGGCCCCTCCCACTCACGCATCATTCACTCACTGGTCCCATATAATTGAATAGAACCATATGGATCCTACTGAGACACGACCAGCAGAGGCATCATGTACCATCAAGACATGTGTTCTCTAAAAGCACAGAGAGACTATTTACTTTGTATTAGTGTGATAGAAGATAAGAGAGACCAAAGAGAGAGACCAGCGAGAGAGACCAGCGAGAGAGACCAGAGAGAGACCAGAGAGAGACCAGAGAGAGACCAGAGAGAGACCAGAGAGAGAGAGAGACCAGAGAGAGAGACCAGAGAGAGACACCAGAGAGAGACCAGAGAGAGAGACCAGAAAGAGACCAGAGAGAGACACCAGATAGAGACCAGAGAGAGAGACCAGAAAGAGACCAGAGAGAGAGACCAGAGAGAGAGACCAGAAAGAGACCAGAGAGAGACCAGAGAGAGAGACCAGAAAGAGACCAGAAGAGCGACACCAGATAGAGAGACCAGAGAGAGACCAGAGAGAGAGACCAGAGAGAGAGACCAGAGAGAGACCAGAGAGAGACACCAGATAGAGACCAGAGAGAGAGACCAGAAAGAGACCAGAGAGAGAGACCAGAGAGAGAGACCAGAAAGAGACCAGAGAGAGACCAGAGAGAGAGACCAGAAAGAGACCAGAGAGCGACACCAGATAGAGAGACCAGAGAGAGACCAGAGAGAGAGACCAGAGAGAGAGACCAGAGAGAGACCAGAGAGACAGACCAGAAAGAGACCAGAGAGAGACCACAGAGAGACCAGAGAGAGACACCAGAGACAGAGAGACACCAGATAGAGACCAGAGAGAGACCAGAGAGAGTATACTGTCTATGATAATGTTGGAGTAAAAACACACTCTTCATTGTCCTTCTCTTTGTGCTGAGAGCTGATTGGCTGAGAGAGGGCGGTCTGCGCTAGTTCCATTGGTGAGGCTTGAAAGTTACGTAGCCCAGCTTTAAAGTCTGCTCGACTGGGACCGGCTGCGTCTCTGTCCATGGTCCTGATGAGACCAGCTAATGTGGCTACATGCTAACAAGTTAAAGACAGTCAGAGCTAATGTGGCTACATGCTAACAAGTTAAAGACAGTCAGAGCTAATGTGGCTACATGCTAACAAGTTAAAGACAGTCAGAGCTAATGTGGCTACATGCTAACAAGTTAAAGACAGTCAGAGCTAATGTGGCTACATGCTAACAAGTTAAAGACAGTCAGAGCTAATGTGGCTACATGCTAACAAGCTAAAGACAGTCAGAGCTAATGTGGCTACATGCTAACAAGTTAAAGACAGTCAGAGCTAATGTGGCTACATGCTAACAAGTTAAAGACAGTCAGAGCTAATGTGGCTACATGCTAACAAGTTAAAGACAGTCAGAGCTAATGTGGCTACATGCTAACAAGTTAAAGACAGTCAGAGCTAATGTGGCTACATGCTAACAAGTTAAAGACAGTCAGAGCTAATGTGGCTACATGCTAACAAGTTAAAGACAGTGTGAGCTAATGTGGCTAAATGCTAAGGTTAAAGCTAAAGTTAAGGTTAAAGTTAAAGTTAAAGTTAAAGTTAAAGCTAAAGTCTACAGTCTACAGTAAAACTAACACCCTTCTGCTCAGACGCTGGGTTTTCAAACTCAGCCACAGCTGTGTCCAAACCTCACACTATGACATCATAGAACTCTCTGATCTGAGAAGCTCCGACAGGAAGTTATTATCACACACACACAACACACATAAACAGACACACAACACACACACACACACACACACACACACACACACATAAACAGACACACACACACACACACACACATAAACAGACACACACACAACACACAACACACACACACATAAACAGACACACACACAACACACATAAACAGACACACAACACACACACACACACACACACAAACAGACACACAACACACACAACACACACACACACACACAACACACACACACACACACACACACACAACACACATAAACAGACACACACACACACACACACACACACACAACACACAACACACACACACACACACACACACACACACACACACATAAACAGACACACACACACACACACACACACACACACACACACACACACACAACACACACAACACACACACACACACATAAACAGACACACACACACACACACACAACAAACACACACACACACAACACACACACACACACACACACACACACACAAACAGACACACACACACACACACAAACAGACACACACACACACAACACACATAAACAGACACACACACAACACACAACACACACACACACACACATAAACAGACACACACACACACACACACATAAACAGACACACACATAAACAGACACACACACAACACACACACACACACACACAAACACACATAAACAGACACACACACAACACACACACACACACACATAAACAGACACACACACAACACACACACATAAACAGACACACACAAACACAGAGAGACACACACATAGTATTCAGACAATCCAGACTGGTTCAGCAAGGCCTTAGTCCTGGTTTAGTCCTGGTTTACTCCTGGTTTACTCCTGGTTTAGTCCTAGTTTAGTCCTGGTTTAGTCCTGGTTTAGTCCTGGTTTACTCCTGGTTTAGTCCTGGTTTACTCCTGGTTTAGTCCTGGTTTAGTCCTGGTGTAGTCCTGGTTTACTCCTGGTTTAGTCCTGGTTTAGTCCTGGTTTAGTCCTGGTTTACTCCTGGTTTAGTCCTGGTTTAGTCCTGGTTTAGTCCTGGTTTAGTCCTGGTTTAGTCCTGGTTTAGTCCTGGTTTACTCCTGGTTTAGTCCTAGTTTAGTCCTGGTTTAGTCCTGGTTTAGTCCTGGTTTACTCCTGGTTTAGTCCTGGTTTACTCCTGGTTTAGTCCTGGTTTAGTCCTGGTGTAGTCCTGGTTTAGTCCTGGTTTAGTCCTGGTTTAGTCCTGGTTTAGTCCCAAACAGACTCCTATAACTTACATAAGTCTCGGCCTCTGCAGTGCACAGTCATGGAGCCACTGCGCATGACACATCAATAAGAAAGAGGCTACGAAGCATCCGGACTAAAGCAGGACTAAAGCAGGACTAAAGCAGGACTAAAGCAGGACTAAAGCAGGTCTAAAGCAGGTCTAAAGCAGGTCTAAAGCAGGTCTAAAGCAGGACTAAAGCAGGTCTAAAGCAGGTCTAAAGCAGGTCTAAAGCAGGACTAAAGCAGGACTAAAGCAGGACTAAAGCAGGTCTAAAGCAGGTCTAAAGCAGGTCTAAAGCAGGACTAAAGCAGGACTAAAGCAGGACTAAAGCAGGACTAAAGCAGGACTAAAGCAGGACTAAAGCAGGTCTAAAGCAGGACTAAAGCAGGACTAAAGCAGGTCTAAAGCAGGACTAAAGCAGGACTAAAGCAGGACTAAAGCAGGACTAAAGCAGGACTAAAGCAGGACTAAAGCATGACTAAAGCAGGACTAAAGCAGGACTAAAGCAGGACTAAAGCAGGACTAAAGCAGGACTAAAGCAGGACTAAAGCAGGACTAAAGCAGGACTAAAGCAGGACTAAAGCAGGTCTAAAGCAGGACTAAAGCAGGACTAAAGCAGGTCTAAAGCAGGACTAAAGCAGGTCTAAAGCAGGACTAAAGCAGGTCTAAAGCAGGACTAAAGCAGGACTAAAGCAGGACTAAAGCAGGTCTAAAGCAGGACTAAAGCAGGTCTAAAGCAGGACTAAAGCAGGACTAAAGCAGGACTAAAGCAGGACTAAAGCAGGACTAAAGCAGGACTAAAGCATGACTAAAGCAGGACTAAAGCAGGACTAAAGCAGGACTAAAGCAGGACTAAAGCAGGACTAAAGCAGGTCTAAAGCAGGTCTAAAGCAGGACTAAAGCAGGTCTAAAGCAGGTCTAAAGCAGGACTAAAGCAGGACTAAAGCAGGACTAAAGCAGGTCTAAAGCAGGACTAAAGCAGGACTAAAGCAGGTCTAAAGCAGGTCTAAAGCAGGACCTAAAGCAGGACTAAAGCAGGTCTAAAGCAGGTCTAAAACAGGACTAAAGCAGGTCTAAAGCAGGTCTAAAGCAGGACTAAAGCAGGACTAAAGCAGGACTAAAGCAGGTCTAAAGCAGGACTAAAGCAGGACTAAAGCAGGTCTAAAGCAGGTCTAAAGCAGGACTAAAGCAGGACTAAAGCAGGTCTAAAGCAGGACTAAAGCAGGACTAAAGCAGGACTAAAGCAGGACTAAAGCAGGACTAAAGCAGGTCTAAAGCAGGTCTAAAGCAGGTCTAAAGAAGGACTAAAGCAGGACTAAAGCAGGACTAAAGCAGGACTAAAGCAGGACTAAAGAAGGACTAAAGCAGGACAAAAGCAGGACTAAAGCTGGACTAAAGCAGGACTAAAGCAGGACTAAAGCAGGTCTAAAGCAGGTCTAAAGCAGGTCTAAAGCAGGTCTAAAGCAGGACTAAAGCAGGACTAAAGCAGGACTAAAGCAGGTCTAAAGCAGGTCTAAAGCAGGTCTAAAGCAGGTCTAAAGCAGGACTAAAGCAGGACTAAAGCAGGTCTAAAGCAGGACTAAAGCAGGACTAAAGCAGGTCTAAAGCAGGTCTAAAGCAGGACTAAAGCAGGACTAAAGCAGGTCTAAAGCAGGTCTAAAGCAGGTCTAAAGCAGAACTAAAGCAGGTCTAAAGCAGGACTAAAGCAGGACTAAAGCAGGTCTAAAGCAGGACTAAAGCAGGTCTAAAGCAGGTCTAAAGCAGGACTAAAGCAGGTCTAAAGCAGGTCTAAAGCAGGACTAAAGCAGGTCTAAAGCAGGTCTAAAGTAGGTCTAAAGCAGGACTAAAGCAGGTCTAAAGCAGGACTAAAGCAGGACTAAAGCAGGACTAAAGCAGGTCTAAAGCAGGTCTAAAGCAGGACTAAAGCAGGACTAAAGCAGGACTAAAGCAGGTCTAAAGCAGGACTAAAGCAGGACTAAAGCAGGTCTAAAGCAGGACTAAAGCAGGACTAAAGCAGGTCTAAAGCAGGACTAAAGCAGGACTAAAGCAGGACTAAAGCAGGACTAAAGCAGGTCTAAAGCAGGTCTAAAGCAGGTCTAAAGCAGGACTAAAGCAGGACTAAAGCAGGTCTAAAGCAGGACTAAAGCAGGACTAAAGCAGGTCTAAAGCAGGACTAAAGCAGGACTAAACCAGAGGTAAATCCAGACAGAGCAGATCTGCTAAAAGACAGAGCGCGGATCGATGCCAGAGCGGAGCCAGGGCCTAAACATGATCTGTGCAGATCTGAAGGCGAGGTCTGGACCCGGACTAGACCAGGACTAGAGCGTGACCACAGGACTACAGGACTAGAGGAGGTCTGGAAAACAGGAGAAGGCCAAAGAAGTCTCATGTAAACAGAGCGAAGCACAAGGAGAACTGACCAGAAACAGGACTGAACCAGGTCTGAACCAGGACAGAACCAGGACTGAACCAGGTCTGAACCAGGACAGAACCAGGACTGAACCAGGAAAGAACCAGGTCTGAACCAGGTCTGAACCAGGACAGAACCAGGACAGAACCAGGACTGAACCAGGTCTGAACCAGGACAGAACCAGGACAGAACCAGGACTAACCAGGACTGAACCAGGTCTGAACCAGGAGAAGGCCAAAGAAGTCTCATGTAAACAGAGCGAAGCACAAGGAGAACTGACCAGAACCAGGACTGAACCAGGTCTGAACCAGGACAGAACCAGGACTGAACCAGGTCTGAACTAGGACAGAACCAGGACTGAACCAGGACTGAACCAGGACTGAAACAGGACAGAACCAGGACTGAACCAGGTCTGAACCAGGACTGAACCAGGACTGAACCAGGACTGAAACAGGACAGAACCAGGACTGAACCAGGTCTGAACCAGGACAGAACCAGGTCTGAACCAGGACTAAAGGTCCCAGGAAGACAAGAAGCAATTAACTAACTAATGAGTTATAACCACAAACACATCAAAGACAGACTTGGAATCAAAACAAGATCAAACCAGGACTAAACCAGGACTAAAGCAGGGCTAAACCAGGGCTAAACCAGTACTAAACCAGGGCTAAACCAGGGCTAAAGCAGGACTACACCAGGGCTAAACCAGGGCTAAAGCAGGACTACACCAGGGCTAAACCAGGACTAAAGCAGGACTACACCAGGGCTAAACCAGGACTACACCAGGGCTAAACCAGGACTACACCAGGGCTAAACCAGGGCTAAAGCAGGACTACACCAGGGCTAAACCAGGACTACACCAGGGCTAAACCAGGGCTAAACCAGGACTACACCAGGGCTAAACACCAGGGCTAAACCAGGGCTAAAGCAGGACTCTGCAGGAGGAGGAGGCCTGGCGCAGATCCGTGTGGGAGAAGAACTTCCGACAAGTGGAGAGCCATAACCGCGAGGCCGACCTGGGGCTGCAGTCGTACTGGCAGGAGCTCAACCAGTTTGCAGACTGGGTGAGTGGGCAGCACACATGGTATCGTATGTATGTGTATGTCTGATCTGTGCTGGCTAAATGACAACTTCGTAAAGCCCTCCGAGATGACCACTGTTGTGATTTAGGGTTGAATTGTTTATGACATGTGAAAAACACATTTTCTGACGTAATCTTTCTCAAAAATGGTTTTAGGTTTAGGTCACTGAACTTTTCTGGACATAAGCCGCAGCTGTAAATAAGCTGCACCAGCTAAGTTTGGAAAGAAATCAATTTTGTCCACATATAGGTCTAGTCTCTCTCTAGTCTCTCTCTTTTCTCTCTCTGGTCTCTCTGATCTCTCTCTGGTCTCTCTTTAGTCTCTCTCTATATATATATCTTTCCAGTCTATCTCTTTTGTGTTTCTCTGGTCTCTCTCTGGTCTCTCTCTCTCTAGCCTCTCTCTAGTCTCTCTCTTGTCTCTCTCTGGTCTCTCTCTGGTCTCTCTCTGGTCTCTCTCTGGTCTCTCTCTGGTCTCTCTCTGGTCTCTCTCTGGTCTCTCTCTCTAGCCTCTCTCTAGTCTCTCTCTTGTCTCTCTCTGGTCTCTCTCTGGTCTCTCTCTCTAGTCGCTCTCTTGTCTCTTTCTGGTCTCTCTCTGGTCTCTCACTGGTCTCTCTCTGGTCTCTCCCTGGTCTCTCTGTAGTCTCTCTCTTGTCTCTCTCTGGTCTCTCTCTGATCTCTCTCTCTAGTCTCTCTCTGATCTCTCTCTGGTTTCTCTTTAGTCTCTCTCTAAATATACATCTTTCCAGTCTCTCTCTGGTCTCTCTCTTGTCTCTCTCTGGTCTCTCTCTTGTCTCTCTCTTGTCTCTCTCTTGTCTCTCTCTGGTCTCTCTCTTGTCTCTCTCTTGTCTCTCTCTTGTCTCTCTCTCTCTGGTTTGTGGTTATGTTTAGTCCACATTTAGGCCTTGTCAAACCCACAGAGGACTCGAATCAGACTCAAACTCCTGAGCTTTGTCTCCGGCTCTACATCTCTCCTCTGTGCTCACATGTATTTGCAGGTTGTGTGTGTATTTCCTGTTGAGTTCTGATGGGTTCTGTTGAGTTCTGATGAGTTCTGTTGAGTTCTGATGAGTTCTGTTGGGTTCTGCTGAAGGACACAGAGGGTGGAACTAAACTGTACAGAACGCTGCTTTCTCTTCTACTTTGTGACGCCTCCAGAGGAAAAGTGTGAAATACGACGTGACAGGCCTCTTTCATTAGGGACGATTAAACAAAGTGCTCTCTCAGGGGACGGGCTCTGAGACACATGGTACAGAAACACTCTCTCTCTCTAGTCTCTCTCTCTGGTCTCTCTCTCTGGTCTCTCTAGTCTCTCTCTGGTCTCTCTCTGGTCTCTCTCTCTGGTCTCTCTCTCTAGTCTCTCTCTCTGGTCTCTCTCTGGTCTCTCTAGTCTCTCTCTAGTCTCACTCTCTGATCTCTCTCTAGTCTCTCTCTGGTCTCTCTAGTCTCTCTAGTCTCTCTCTCTCTCTTGTGTCTCTCTGGTCCCTAGTCTCTCTCTCTCTCTCTTGTCTCTCTCTGGTCTCACTCTGTCTCTCTCTCTGGTCTCTCTCTAGTCTCTCTCTAGTCTCACTCTCTGGTCTCTCTCTAGTCTCTCTCTCTGGTCTCTCTCTAGTCTCTCTCTAGTCTCACTCTCTGGTCTCTCTTTCTAGTCTCTCTCTCTGGTCTCTCTCTGGTCTCTCTCTAGTCTCACTCTCTGGTCTCTCTCTAGTCTCTCTCTGGTCTCTCTAGTCTCTCTCTAGTCTCACTCTCTAGTCTCTCTCTCTGGTCTCTCTCTAGTCTCTCTCTAGTCTCTCTCTCTGGTCTCTCTCTAGTCTCTCTCTAGTCTCTCTCTCTAGTCTCACTCTCTGGTCTCTCTCTCTAGTCTCTCTCTCTAGTCTCTCTGGTCTCTCTCTCTGGTCTCTCTCTAGTCTCTCTCTAGTCTCACTCTCTGGTCTCTCTCTCTAGTCTCACTCTCTGGTCTCTCTCTCTAGTCTCTCTCTCTAGTCTCACTCTCTGGTCTCTCTCTCTAGTCTCTCTCTCTGGTCTCTCTCTCTGGTCTCTCTCTAGTCTCTCTCTAGTCTCACTCTCTGGTCTCTCTCTCTAGTCTCACTCTCTGGTCTCTCTCTCTAGTCTCACTATCTAGTCTCACTCTCTAGTCTCTCTCTCTAGTCTCTCTCTAGTCTCACTCTCTGGTCTCTCTCTAGTCTCTCTAGTCTCTCTCTCTAGTCTCTCTCTAGTCTCACTCTCTGGTCTCTCTCTCTAGTCTCTCTCTCTAGTCTCTCTCTCTGGTCTCTCTCTAGTCTCTCTCTAGTCTCTCTCTCTAGTCTCACTCTCTGGTCTCTCTCTCTAGTCTCACTCTCTGGTCTCTCTCTCTAGTCTCACTCTCTGGTCTCTCTCTCTAGTCTCACTCTCTGGTCTCTCTCTCTAGTCTCACTCTCTGGTCTCTCTCTCTAGTCTCACTCTCTGGTCTCTCTCTCTAGTCTCACTCTCTGGTCTCTCTCTCTAGTCTCTCTCTCTAGTCTCTCTCTCTGGTCTCTCTCTCTAGTCTCTCTCTCTGGTCTCTCTCTCTAGTCTCACTCTCTGGTCTCTCTCTAGTCTCTCTCTAGTCTCTCTCTCTAGTCTCACTCTCTGGTCTCTCTCTCTAGTCTCACTCTCTGGTCTCTCTCTCTAGTCTCACTCTCTGGTCTCTCTCTCTAGTCTCACTCTCTGGTCTCTCTCTCTAGTCTCACTCTCTGGTCTCTCTCTCTAGTCTCACTCTCTGGTCTCTCTCTCTAGTCTCACTCTCTGGTCTCTCTCTAGTCTCTCTCTCTGGTCTCTCTCTGGTCTCTCTCTCTAGTCTCTCTCTCTGGTCTCTCTCTAGTCTCACTCTCTGGTCTCTCTCTCTAGTCTCTCTCTCTAGTCTCTCTCTCTGGTCTCTCTCTCTAGTCTCTCTCTCTGGTCTCTCTCTGGTCTCACTCTCTGGTCTCTCTCTCTGGTCTCTCTCTCTAGTCTCTCTCTCTGGTCTCTCTAGTCTCTCTCTAGTCTCACTCTCTGATCTCTCTCTAGTCTCTCTCTGGTCTCTCTAGTCTCTCTCTAGTCTCACTCTCTGGTCTCTCTCTCTAGTCTCACTCTCTGGTCTCTCTTTCTAGTCTCTCTCTCTGGTCTCTCTCTGGTCTCTCTCTAGTCTCACTCTCTGGTCTCTCTCTAGTCTCACTCTCTGGTCTCTCTCTAGTCTCTCTCTGGTCTCTCTAGTCTCTCTCTAGTCTCACTCTCTGGTCTCTCTCTCTAGTCTCTCTCTCTGGTCTCTCTCTCTAGTCTCACTCTCTGGTCTCTCTCTCTGGTCTCTCTCTCTAGTCTCACTCTCTGGTCTCTCTCTCTAGTCTCACTCTCTGGTCTCTCTCTCTAGTCTCACTCTCTGGTCTCTCTCTCTAGTCTCTCTCTCTAGTCTCTCTCTCTGGTCTCTCTCTCTAGTCTCTCTCTCTGGTCTCTAGTCTCTCTCTAGTCTCTCTCTCTAGTCTCACTCTCTGGTCTCTCTCTCTAGTCTCACTCTCTGGTCTCTCTCTCTAGTCTCACTCTCTGGTCTCTCTCTCTAGTCTCACTCTCTGGTCTCTCTCTCTAGTCTCACTCTCTGGTCTCTCTCTCTAGTCTCTCTCTCTAGTCTCTCTCTCTGGTCTCTCTCTCTAGTCTCTCTCTCTGGTCTCTAGTCTCTCTCTAGTCTCTCTCTCTAGTCTCACTCTCTGGTCTCTCTCTCTAGTCTCACTCTCTGGTCTCTCTCTCTAGTCTCACTCTCTGGTCTCTCTCTCTAGTCTCACTCTCTGGTCTCTCTCTCTAGTCTCACTCTCTGGTCTCTCTCTCTAGTCTCACTCTCTAGTCTCTCTCTCTGGTCTTCTCTCTGGTCCTTCTCTCTGGTGTCTCTCTAGTCTCGCTCTAGTCTTACTGTCTTGTTTTGGTTTTGCTTTATTTTCACGTAACATCAGACTATTTCACATATTCAGAAACACTTAGGACGTAACAGCATGACATGGATAAATAAAATACAGGCTTTGAGTACTTTTGTGAATATCTACTCTATTATTGATCTAATTACCACTTGATCCATGATCTTAAATGTCAGGACTCTATCTCAGGATTCTCCTATAGCCTTAAACGTCTCATGTGGTACAAACACATATCGCGTTCCCAACATTCATTGGTTTTCCCAGAATTATCCCTACACAGTATTTACCCGGGGCAACTAGTTTGTCGCCCTCATAACAATTCAATTAATTTGCGTGTAGTTTATCTTAGTCCCGCTCTCTGTGGAGTGACAGACAAATGCACAAAAAATGACAATTGTAAACCGCTTTGTGACTCTGGTCTGTGGCAGGCGCTATATAAATAAACATTACTTACTTAAATCACAGCTGTTGTTTTTCTCTGAGGACTTCACAAAGCTGTCAATTCACCAACACAGATCAGAGAAACCGTTTGGTGCTTGTTTGGTTCTGGCTCTAGCACTCTCTCTCAGCCCAAAGAGTCAAATAGTGGCTCTTTCTCTACAAATATACACAAAGAAATTATTATCTCTGGGTTTCTGAGTGGTTTCTCTCTGATGCAGGAGAGTCTAAGGATCTATGTGTTTGTGGGTTTTAATTCTGGTGTTATTATTCTCTGATCTGTTGTAAAGTCCTCAGAGACGACTGCTGCTGTCATTCAGAGCGATGCACAAATACATAGAATTTAAAGGTTTCCCATTAAGATAAAGTCAGTCCGTGTGGTTCTGATTTGTCCTTTTTCTTCCCTGAAATCTCCTACAATGTGACTTTAAACCCAGCTTTCCACAATCAGTGACATACGTTTTCTTAGTCACCGTCACCTCCAATTCCACTCTTTGCTTTGGCTCTTGGTGGAGAATAAATAAGGCATAATCAAACATTTCTAAAGTATAACATTTTATGAAACATAAAGAATTAAACATAAGCTGAAACTTCCCCATTATTGGAGCAATAAACGTATCACTCATTCATTGATAACAGTTTAATTTGTAATATTCTTAGTTTTATATTTGAGCAAAGCCAAAACATTTATGGTCGTCTCCCTCTTATGTGTTTAATGCTTACAAAGTTATTTTAATAAGACAAAATGTAAACAAGCTAGTACAGTTCTTTGCTCTGTGTATTTCTATTCTCCACCAACAGATCAGAGAATCAGTGACGGCTGCTAGTTTAGATTTAGGGTGATGCATTTGTGAATGAAAGAGTTAAGACACCTTTGTAAATGCTGCTTCCTGTGTGCAGACTCTTAAGTACTCGTCCAAGAGCCACCCCGGAGCAGAGCACCGCCATGACAAGCTGCGGAACGACTCGGACGCCGCTCCTCCGTGCAAAGTGCTGCGGCGCTCCGACAGCCCAGACAAGCACAGCGAGACCACGGCACACGGCAGAGGGAAGGTCCACAGCCACCGGGCCAGAGACCGGGACGGAGACCGGGACGGAGACCGGGACGGAGACCGAGCCAGAGACCGGGACGGAGGTCTGTGTTAGCTCTGTGTTAGCTCTGTGTGTTAGCTCTGTGTGTTAGCTCTGTGTCAGCTCTGTGTTAGCTCTGTGTCAGCTCTGTGTTAGCTCTGTGTTAGCTCTGTGTTAGCTCTGTGTTAGCTCTGTGTTAGCTCTGTGTTAGCTCTGTGTCAGCTCTGTGTCAGCTCTGTGTTAGCTCTGTGTCAGCTCTGTGTTAGCTCTGTGTTATCTCTGTGTGTTAGCTCTGTGTCTTAGTTCTGTGTGTTAGCTCTGTGTCAGCTCTGTGTTAGCTCTGTGTTAGCTCTGTGTTAGCTCTGTATCTGGGAACAGCAGGTGCCACAGTGGGGCGGCTGCGGCTGTAAAGTGCCAAACTGTTGTGTCCTTAGGCAAGACACTTCATTAGACACACATTAGAATGAGTCTGGTGTGTGTGTGAATGGTTGGTGGTGGTGGGAGGGGCCAATGGCACAGACTGGTTGCCTCGCTTCTGTCAGTGTGCCCCAGGGCAGCTGTGGCTACAGTAGTAGTTTATCACCACTGTGTTTGGAGAGAATTGACCAAAAAGAACGAGATTGCGGATACATGCGTCGAAATGATCTTCCTCCGCAGAGTGGCTGCAGAGAGGAGCTCAGTCACATGAGAGGAGCTCGGAGTAGAACCGCTGCTCCTGCACATCGTGAGGATCCAGTTGAGGTGGCTCATCTGTTCCGGATGCCTCCTGGACGCCTCCCTGGGGAGGTGTTCCGGGCACGTCCCACCGGGAGGAGGCCCCGGGGAAGACCCAGGACACGCTGGAGGGACTATGTCTCTCAGCTGGCCTGGGAACGCCTTGGGGTCCCCCCGGACGAGCTGGAGGAGGTGTGTGTGGATAGGGAAGTCTGGGCGTCTCTGCTTAGACTGCTGCCCCCGCGACCCGGCAACGGGTCGCGGGGGCAGCGGAAGCGGAAGAAAATGGATGGATGGGTTTTTGGAGTGAAAGAAAGAAAGAATACTAAACCAGACATGTCCAAACTGTGTCTGTGGCCCTCTGCTAACAGTGTCATCCAGCCAACTTCAGCCCCTTCACTGTAGGACTGCTGTACCTCTTTGTAAAGATCAGTCTCTAGAAGTGGTCTCCAACCAGTAGCTCTCCCACACTTTCCCTGTTGCTCCCCAAAGGATTTAGAAATACAACTCTACAATACATTATAAAAGTCTGTGAGAGGAGACGGTAAAAAACCAAAGTCAGACTCACCTGAAGTTTGGATAAATTAATCTTAATTCTAGAACATTAAGACATTTCCAGTGGAATTGAATGTAGTAAAGACTGGAGCTGCTTTGTCCAGGAGAAAACATTTAGTTTAAGGCCTTCTTTCTCTCTCCTAAAGAATGTTCTGATGTACAGGAGTAACACAGTCCTCACGACGCTAACTTTGGTTCATGCTAACAAACCGTTAATTACTGTTAAACGCCAACGCACATACAACATTCTAAAGGTCGGAACAGTTTTAACATCTGTGTCTGAACTGGATGCACGTCACTAAAGTCTGGACACCCCTGGACTTTACGTCACATGACATCAGATCATCTCACATACTCAACATGTGACATCACAACGTTCAGTTCTTACAGTCGAGACACGGCAGAGCACTGAGCTGTGTCTGTGGTCTCTGAAGGCGCTAGAACTTTGGGTTAAAGAGAGCTACAGGTCTTTAGAGAGAGCTACTTCTGTGAAACTGTATAGGATGAGCTGGTTATAGAGAGCTACAGTGTGAGCTACTGGAGGAGCTGGTTATAGAGAGCTACAGTGTGAGCTACTGGAGGAGTTGGTTATAGAGAGCTACAGTGTGAGCTATAGGATGAGCTGGTTATAGAGAGCTACAGTGTGAGCTACTGCTAGGACGGTTGCTAAGGCAAGCTGGAGTTTCCCTCGAGAATGAAGGCCTCTGATTGGTCGATCCATATGATCTTTAAGATTCAATTGTAAATATAAATGATTTTTTGTTCAAAGCATCCTTTTATTCTCCTGTTTGTCTGTATTTAAGACTCATGATTATCCTGTACAAGGGCATTTAATATTATTATTATTATCTCCTGTATTCTTGTAGCCAGGTCTTACCACACCACAGTACAAATGACTAAGGTCTGGATTGTCTCCATTGACTCCGTGAACGGGTGGGAGGGGTTAACTCCTTTTGAAGATTGAAACCATTGGATCTGAGTTTACTGTGACGTATGTAATGCACCCGAGTCTGTTGTTAGCATTTAGCATTTAGCCTAGCTTTAGCCATCTCCTTTGCTGCTAACGGAGCCCGTGGGGAGTAGCGCCACAATCTTTGCAGCGATTACATTTGTTAAACCTTCCTCTTGCTCCTGCTTCAGTTTCTTGATAGAACCAGACCAGAATACTTTACTATCGCATTCTTCGCCAAACTACAACATGCCCGTTCGGCGCAAACTCTTGACGTCACCGGCACCGACCTACAACACCCGCCTCCCGGTCGAAATACGACCGATTGTAATCGCTAACACAGGGACCAGACCCAGACGCTACATGCAGTGAAATTATGACTGAGCGGAGTGTACGGATGGCTATGGCCAGGCTAGTATTCTTGTGTTTCATGAGCCTGGCCAGTAGGGGGCGCATGAGCAGAGATGGGACAGTGTTGCTCCCATTGAAAACCATGTAAAGTCTGTTTTGTAGTCAAAGGCTCTCCTCCTGTGCGGTGTACGGTTGTTGGAACAGTCTTAATCGGGGACACTCAATTCTAAGGAAGTGCTAAAAAATATTTCTAAAAAGAGTCTTGATTTGGGGCATTTTTGTAAAGAAAAACAGAAGAAATTTCTGCGTTTTATTGGGGTGGCCTGCAGGGGACGCTTATCTGGGAAAGCCTTGATCCACCTCGCCCGCCACAGTTGGAACATGAACACACTCTGTCTTTCTCTCTATTTGTGCGGTTGCTACGAGCGTACACCGCACAAAAAGATGCTTCTTCTTCTACTATATCTCCGTGTATAAACCACTTCTTCTTCTACTATATCTCTGTGTATAAACCACTTCTTCTTCTACTATATCTCTGTGTATAAACCACTTCTTCTTCTACTATATCTCTGTGTATAAACCACTTCTTCTTCTACTATATCTCCGTGTATAAACCACTTCTTCTTCTACTATATCTCCGTGTATAAACCACTTCTTCTTCTACTATATCTCTGTGTATAAACCACTTCTTCTTCTACTATATCTCTGTGTATAAACCACTTCTTCTTCTACTATATCTCCGTGTATAAACCACTTCTTCTTCTACTATATCTCCGTGTATAAACCACTTCTTCTTCTACTATATCTCTGTGTATAAACCACTTCTTCTTCTACTATATCTCTGTGTATAAACCACTTCTTCTTCTACTATATCTCCGTGTATAAACCACTTCTTCTTCTACTATATCTCTGTGTATAAACCACTTCTTCTTCTACTATATCTCCGTGTATAAACCACTTCTTCTTCTACTATATCTCCGTGTATAAACCACTTCTTCTTCTACTATATCTCCGTGTATAAACCCGGCAGACTGCACCTACAGGATACGTCACGTCCTGTCCTACGTTTGTTATTCACTGCCCTGACGTCAAATGAAACTCAAGAATTCTTACATCCCTCTGGAACAGACTCTGACTGTTATTAAAGCAATAAAGGTCTAGTTTGTTCTTTAACCTTCTGCCACAGTCAAAATGTGTGTGTTTGTGGTGCTCTTTAAAGCTCTCTCTGGTCGGTCTCTCTCTCTGGTCCCTCTCTGGTCTCTCTCTGGTCTCTCTCTGGTCTCTCTCTGGTCTCTTTCTCTGGTCTCTCTCTGGTCTCTCTCTGGTCTCTCTGGTCTCTCTCTGTTCTCTCTCTCTGGTCTCTCTCTGGTCTCTCTCTGGTCTCTCTCTGGTCTCTCTGGTCTCTTTCTGGTCTCTCTCTGGTCTCTCTCTGTTCTCTCTCTCTGGTCTCTCTGGTCTCTCTCTGGTCTCTCTCTGGTCTCTCTGGTCTCTTTCTGGTCTCTCTCTGTTCTCTCTCTCTGGTCTCTCTCTGGTCTCTCTCTGGTCTCTCTCTGGTCTCTTTCTCTGGTCTCTCTCTGGTCTCTCTCTGGTCTCTCTCTGGTCTCTTTCTCTGGTCTCTCTCTGGTCTCTCTCTGGTCTCTCTCTGGTCTCTCTCTGGTCTCTCTCTGGTCTCTTTCTCTGGTCTCTCTCTGGTCTCTCTCTGGTCTCTCTCTGGGTCACACTGGTCCCTTCTGTCTCGGACTGTCTCTGATCAGAATCCTCTGTCTGTTCCAGGGACCAGTAACTCACCTCAAGAAAACTCCCACAACCACAGCTCCAACTCTCACACAAACACGAGCAAGACCTCCGACACGGTAAGTGTGTGTGTCTCTGAATGTGTGTGTGTGTGTGTGTGTTCATGTCTGTAGCTCTGTGTGTGTGTGTGTCTATGGTGAGTTTCTCTTGTGGTTAAAATACTGCTGAAACCTTCCTGATAGAAGTGTGTCTGCCGCACAACTGTCTCCAGGATGGATGTCAAAGGAAGTTGCAAACGGTTGCATCACAGCCTCACCTCTGTGTGTGTGTGTCTGTGTGTGCTTGTCTCTGCGTCTGTGTGTGTCTGTGTGTGTGTGTCTCTGCGTCTGTGTGTGTCTGTGTCTGTGTGTGCTTGTCTCTCCGTCTGTGTGTGTCTGTGTGTGTGTCTCTGCGTCTGTGTGTGTCTGTGTGTGCTTGTCTCTGCGTCTGTGTGTGTGTCTGTGTCTGTGTGTGTGTGTGTGTGTCTCTGCGTCTGTGTGTGTCTGTGTCTGTGTGTGCTTGTCTCTGCGTCTGTGTGTGTCTGTGTGTGTGTGTCTCTGCGTCTGTGTGTGTCTGTGTGTGTGTCTCTGCGTCTGCGTGTGTGTGTCTCTGCGTCTCTGTGTGTGTGTACAGTGTGTGTCTGAGTCTTAGCCCCTTTTGTTTCTAGCCTCACGTGTGTGTGTTTGTGGTTCCAGCCTCATGAACCAGGTGACGATTGGTCCGAACACATCAGTTCCTCTGGTAAGAAGTACTACTACAACTGCAGGACGGAGGTGTCTCAGTGGGAGAAGCCCAAGGAGTGGCTCGACAGGTACCAGCTCTGTCTCTGCCTCTGTCTCTGTCTCTGTCTCTGTCTCTGTCTCTGCCTCTGCCTCTGTCTCTGCCTCTGTCTCTGTCTCTGTCTCTGTCTCTGTCTCTGCCTCTGCCTCTGTCTCTGCCTCTGTCTCTGTCTCTGCCTCTGTCTCTGTCTCTGTCTCTGTCTCTGTCTCTGCCTCTGCCTCTGTCTCTGCCTCTGTCTCTGTCTCTGCCTCTGTCTCTGTCTCTGTCTCTGTCTCTGTCTCTGCCTCTGTCTCTGTCTCTGTCTCTGTCTCTGCCTCTGTCTCTGTCTCTGTCTCTGTCTCTGCCTCTGTCTCTGCCTCTGCCTCTGCCTCTGCCGCTGTCTCTGCCTCTGCCTCTGCCTCTGCCTCTGCCTCTGCCGTGGTCTCTGCCTCTGCCTCTGCCTCTGCCTCTGTCTCTGCCTCTGTCTCTGTCTCTGTCTCTGTCTCTGCCTCTGCCTCTGCCTCTGCCTCTGCCTCTGCCTCTGCCGCTGTCTCTGCCTCTGTCTCTGCCTCTGCCTCTGCCTCTGCCTCTGCCTCTGCCGCTGTCTCTGCCTCTGTCTCTGTCTCTGTCTCTGTCTCTGCCTCTGTCTCTGTCTCTGCCTCTGCCTCTGCCTCTGCCTCTGCCGCTGTCTGTCTCTGCCTCTGCCTCTGCCTCTGCCTCTGCCTCTGCCTCTGCCGCTGTCTCTGCCTCTGTCTCTGTCTCTGCCTCTGCCTCTGTCTCTGCCTCTGTCTCTGTCTCTGTCTCTGCCTCTGCCTCTGCCTCTGCCTCTGCCTCTGCCTCTGTCTCTGCCTCTGTCTCTGTCTCTGCCTCTGTCTCTGTCTCTGCCTCTGTCTCTGCCTCTGTCTCTGTCTCTGTCTCTGCCTCTGTCTCTGTCTCTGCCTCTGTATCTGTCTCTGTCTTAGTCTCTGCCTCTGTCTCTGTCTCTGTCTCTGTCTCTGCCTCTGTCTCTGCCTCTGTCTTAGTCTCTGCCTCTGTCTCTGTCTCTGTCTCTGTCTCTGCCTCTGCCTCTGTCTCTGTCTCTGCCTCTGCCTCTGTCTCTGTCTCTGTCTCTGCCTCTGTCTCTGTCTTAGTCTCTGTCTCTGCCTTTGTCTCTGTCTCTGTCTCTGCCTCTGCCTCTGTCTCTGTCTTAGTCTCTGTCTCTGCCTCTGTCTCTGCCTCTGTCTCTGCCTCTGTCTCTGCCTCTGCCTCTGTCTCTGCCTCTGTCTCTGCCTCTGTCTCTGCCTCTGTCTCTGTCTCTGCCTCTGTCTCTGTCTCTGTCTTTGTCTCTGTCTCTGTCTCTATCTCTGTCTCTGCCTCTGTCTCTGTCTCTGCCTCTGTCTCTGCCTCTGCCTCTGTCTCTGTCTCTGTCTCTGCCTCTGCCTCTGTCTCTGTCTCTGCCTCTGCCTCTGTCTCTCTCTGCCTCTGTCTCCGTCTCTGTCTCTGCCTCTGTCTCTGCCTCTGCCTCTGTCTCTGCCTTTGTCTCTGCCTTTGTCTCTGTCTCTGCCTCTGTCTCTGCCTCTGCCTCTGTCTCTGTCTGTCTCTGTGTCTGTCTCTGTCTGTCTCTGTCTCTGTCTCTGTCTCTGCCTCTGCCTCTGCCTCTGTCTCTGTCTCTGCCTTTGTCTCTGTCTCTGCCTCTGTCTCTGTCTCTGCCTCTGCCTCTGTCTCTCTCTGCCTCTGCCTCTGTCTCTGTCTCTGCCTCTGTCTCTGCCTTTGTCTCTGCCTCTGTCTCTGTCTCTGTCTCTGCCTCTGCCTCTGTCTCTGTCTCTGCCTCTGTCTCTGTCTCTGCCTCTGTCTCTGCCTCTGTCTCTGCCTCTGCCTCTGTCTCTGTCTCTGTCTCTGCTTCTGTCTCTGCCTCTGTCTCTGCCTCTGTCTCTGCCTCTGTCTCTGTCTCTGCCTCTGCCTCTGTCTCTCTCTGCCTCTGTCTCTGTCTCTGTCTCTGCCTCTGTCTCTGTCTCTGTCTCTGCCTCTGTCTCTGCCTCTGTCTCTGCCTCTGTCTCTGCCTCTGTCTCTGTCTCTGTCTCTGTCTCTGCCTCTGTCTCTGCCTCTGTCTCTGCCTCTGTCTGCCTCTGTCTCTGTCTCTGTCTCTGTCTCTGCCTCTGTCTCTGCCTTTGTCTCTGCCTCTGTCTCTGTCTCTGTCTCTGCCTCTGCCTCTGTCTCTGTCTCTGTCTCTGCCTCTGTCTCTGTCTCTGCTTCTGTCTCTGCCTCTGTCTCTGCCTCTGTCTCTGCCTCTGTCTCTGCCTCTGTCTCTGCCTCTGCCTCTGTCTCTGTCTGTCTCTGTGTCTGTCTCTGTCTGTCTCTGTCTCTGTCTCTGTCTCTGCCTCTGTCTCTGCCTCTGTCTCTGCCTCTGCCTCTGCCTCTGTCTCTGTCTTGTCTCTGTGTCTGTCTCTGTCTGTCTCTGCCTCTGTCTCTGTCTCCGTCTCTGTCTCTGCCTCTGTCTCTGCCTCTGCCTCTGCCTCTGTCTCTGTCTCTGCCTTTGTCTCTGTCTCTGCCTCTGTCTCTGCCTCTGCCTCTGCCTCTGCCTCTGCCTCTGCCTCTGTCTCTGTCTCTGTCTCTGCCTCTGTCTCTGTCTCTGTCTCTGCCTCTGTCTCTGTCTCTGTCTCTGTCTCTGCCTCTGCCTCTGTCTCTGTCTCTGCTTCTGTCTCTGCCTCTGCCTCTGTCTCTGTCTCTGCCTCTGCCTCTGTCTCTGTCTCTGTCTCTGCCTCTGTCTCTGTCTCTGTCTCTGCCTCTGTCTCTGTCTCTGCCTCTGTCTCTGCCTCTGTCTCTGTCTCTGTCTCTATCTCTGTCTCTGTCTCTGCCTCTGTCTCTATCTCTATCTCTGTCTCTGCCTCTGTCTCTGCCTCTGTCTCTGCCTTTGTCTCTGTCTCTGCCTCTGCCTCTGTCTCTGTCTCTGCCTCTGCCTCTGTCTCTCTCTGCCTCTGTCTCTGTCTCTGCCTCTGCCTCTGTCTCTCTCTGCCTCTGTCTCTGTCTCTGTCTCTGCCTCTGTCTCTGCCTCTGTCTCTGTCTCTGCCTCTGCCTCTGTCTCTCTCTGCCTCTGCCTCTGTCTCTGTCTCTGTCTCTGCCTCTGTCTCTGCCTTTGTCTCTGCCTCTGCCTCTGTCTCTGTCTCTGTCTCTGTCTCTGCCTCTGTCTCTGTCTCTGTCTCTGCCTCTGTCTCTGTCTCTGTCTCTGCCTCTGCCTCTGTCTCTGTCTCTGCTTCTGTCTCTGCCTCTGTCTCTGTCTCTGCCTCTGCCTCTGTCTCTGTCTCTGTCTCTGCTTCTGTCTCTGCTTCTGTCTCTGCCTCTGTCTCTGTCTCTGTCTCTGCCTCTGCCTCTGTCTCTGTCTCTGTCTCTGCCTCTGTCTCTGTCTCTGTCTCTGCCTCTGTCTCTGTCTCTGCCTCTGTCTCTGCCTCTGTCTCTGCCTCTGTCTCTGTCTCTGTCTCTGTCTCTGTCTCTGCCTCTGTCTCTGCCTCTGTCTCTATCTCTATCTCTGTCTCTGCCTCTGCCTCTGTCTCTGCCTCTGTCTCTGCCTTTGTCTCTGTCTCTGCCTCTGCCTCTGCCTCTGTCTCTGTCTCTGCCTCTGCCTCTGTCTCTCTCTGTCTCTGCCTCTGCCTCTGCCTCTGCCTCTGCCTCTGTCTCTGCCTCTGTCTCTGCCTTTGTCTCTGTCTCTGTCTCTGTCTCTGCCTCTGCCTCTGTCTCTGTCTCTGTCTCTGTCTCTGTCTCTGCCTCTGCCTCTGTCTCTGTCTCTGTCTGTCTCTGCCTCTGCCTCTGTCTCTGTCTCTGTCTCTGTCTCTGTCTCTGTCTCTGCCTCTGTCTCTGTCTCTGCCTCTGTCTCTGCCTCTGTCTCTGTCTCTGTCTCTGCCTCTGTCTCTGTCTCTGTCTCTGTCTCTGCCTCTGCCTCTGTCTCTGTCTCTGTCTCTGTCTCTGCCTCTGTCTCTGTCTCTGTCTCTGCCTCTGCCTCTGTCTCTGTCTCTGCCTCTGTCTCTGTCTCTGTCTCTGTCTCTGCTTCTGTCTCTGTCTCTGTCTCTGTCTCTGCCTCTGCCTCTGTCTCTGTCTCTGTCTCTGTCTCTGTCTCTGCCTCTGCCTCTGTCTCACTGCTCTCTCTGTGTTGTGTTTCACAGAGAACAAAGACAGAAGGAACCGACAAAGACTGCAGTCGTCAACAGCTTTCCCAAAGACAGAGACTACAGGAGAGAGGCCCTGCAGGCAGCAGCCCCCACCTTCACAGCCAGTGAGTTCTCAGAATCAGAATCAGAATCAGAATCATTTTTATTGCCAACGTAAGTAACAGGAGGTCACAGACTTGGAAATTGCTTTGGCTCAGTGCAACAGTCAAAAAGATATAATAAAAATAAGAATAAAAAACACTTCTAAAGAATAAATTTAAATTTAAAATAGAGTTACAGTTACTATTTACAATATACAAGTGCACATGGTGCACACAATGCTCTGCTTTTGATTCTCTCTGGTCTCTCTCTCTGGTCTCTCTCTCTGGTCTCTCTCTCTGGTCTCTCTCTCTGGTCTCTCTCTCTGGTCTCTCTCTCATATTGTTGTTTTTAGTTTTCTCTCAGTTTTATAAACTATCCAAATGTTTTAAAACTCACAGCAGCAACTATACTATACTACCGTGAAGCAGGGTTCCCATTGCCAAATTTCAGCAGCGAATTATAGTCTATCTTTCGTTCTGCTGCGATGTAAAAAAACACTGTGCGGAAGTGGTGGGCGGGCTTTGACGCTAACAAGTTTAAGCTAGCGGCTCATATACGTCATAAAACAGGAGTCTGTGGTTTCATTATATCATTAACAGGGATCATTAACAACGTTGGAAACACGTTTGCAGAACTTTTTCCCCCGTCTTCCTGTTTTGCTTGTTTCCCTGTGAACACTTTGCTGCTCTCTGATTGGTTGCTGCACGTGGCTGCTGCGCCGGACAGACGTGCCGCGGCGTACATGTGAAACTTGTCGTAGTTTGAAGCTCTTTCTTTTATAAAGTTGTTAAAAATGTCTGAAAATCTCAATATTGCATCATGTGGATGAGAAACTTGAGAAACCTTAGTCCATTATTGTTATGTGATTCTCTCTGGTCTCTCTCTCTCTTGGCACTCTCTGGTCTCTCTCTGGTCTCTCTCTCTCTTGGCACTCTCTGGTCTCTCTGGTCTCTCTCTGGTCTCTCTCTGGTCTCTCTCTGGTCTCTCTCTCTGGTCTCTCTCTCTCTCTCTCTCTCTGGTCACTCTCTGGTCTCTCTCTGGTCTCTCTCTCTTGGCACTCTCTGGTCTCTCTCTGGTCTCTCTCTCTTGGCACTCTCTGGTCTCTCTCTGGTCTCTCTCTCTTGGCACTCTCTGGTCTCTCTCTGGTCTCTCTCTCTCTTGGTGCTCTCTGGTCTCTCTCTGGTCTCTCTCTGGTCTCTCTCTGGTCTCTCTCTCTCTTGGCACTCTCTGGTCTCTCTCTGGTCTCTCTCTAGTCTCTGGTACTTCTCTTTTGTCTCTCTGATCTCTCTGGTCTCTCTCTTTCTGGTGGTATAACATTACTGTGACCAGTAATGTCCAGTATGACCAGTAACCCCTGATAACAGTTCTGACCCAGTCCTGGTCTGGAGCCGAGTCCTGATCCAGTCCTGGTCTGGAGCAGAGTCCTGACCCAGTCCTGGTCTGGAGCCGAGTCTTGACCCAGTCCTGGTCTGGAGCCGAGTCCTGACCCAGTCCTGGTCTGGAGCCGAGTCCTGACCCAGTCCTGGTCTGGAGCCGAGTCCTGACCCAGTCGTGGTCTGGAGCCGAGTCCTGACCCAGTCGTGGTCTGGAGCCGAGTCCTGACCCAGTCGTGGTCTGGAGCCGAGTCCTGACCCAGTCGTGGTCTGGAGCCGAATCCTGACCCAGTCGTGGTCTGGAGCCGAATCCTGACCCAGTCCTGGTCTGGAGCCGAGTCCTGACCCAGTCCTGGTCTGGAGCCGAGTCCTGACCCAGTCCTGGTCTGGAGCCGAGTCCTGACCCAGTCCTGGTCTGGAGCCGAGTCCTGACCCAGTCCTGGTCTAGAGTCCTGAACCTCTCCTCCCTGTGTCCTGACAGAGCCCCAGGGGGAGAAGGCGTCTGCAGCCCAGTCTTCATCCTCAGGCTCAGGCAGCTTGAACTCCTCTAGCGCCCCCTCTGGTTCCTCTGCCTCCACGGTCCCCGTGTCCCCAGTGCTCCAGTCCACGACCCCCCCACTCCTGCAGGACCCCAGCCTCCTGCGACAGCTCCTCCCAGCGCTGCAGACGGCTCTGCAGCTCAACAACACCAGTGTGGACATGGCCAAGATCAACGAAGGTAACTTTTAATCTCACTACAGGCCTGAGGTTGATCACGCTGCCACAGCTCGTACACTGCTGTAGTTTAGAAGAGAATGGTTTAATCCCACTCCCAACCACATGATGGCGATCTCACAGGAGTTGCCTGTGAAACCAAAGTTAGCTACTTCCTCCTCTTCAGAACAAAAACATCAGTGAAGCTGTTTGAGATCATTACATGTGGTTCTACTGTAAGTTTATGTGACCGTTCTAAACTCATCGTTTCAACTCATCTAACTGTGATGCTGTGAATAAAGACACAGTTCTGTTGGAAACATAGTTATTATTATATATTATATATTATTACTATATTACAGATATTATTATTATATATTATATATATTATTATACTATATTACAGTTATTATTATTATATTATTACGATACTAAAGTTATTATTAAAGTGTTTTCCAGCACAAACAGCAAAACAATAAGTGGTATATATCTGAGACAAACATGAACGAGACACAGAGTTAGATATAAGTTATATATGTAAACTTATATCTAACTTATATCTAACTTATATCTAAACATATATCTAACAGATATAAGTTAGATATAAGTTAGATATAAGTTAGATATATGTTCAGATATAAGTTAGATATAAGTTATATATATGTTAGATATATGGTTCAGATATAAGTTAGATATAAGTTACATATATGTTAGATATATGTTAGATATAAGTTAGATATAAGTTAGATATAAGTTAGATATATGTTAGATATATGTTAGATATAAGTTAGATATAAGTTAGATATAAGTTAGATATAAGTTAGATATATGTTAGATATAAGTTAGATATAAGTTAGATATAAGTTAGATATAAGTTAGATATAAGTTAGATATAAGTTAGATATAAGTTAGATATATGTTAGATATAAGTTAGATATATGTTAGATATAAGTTAGATATATGTTAGATATATGTTAGATATAAGTTAGATATAAGTTAGATATAAGTTAGATATATGTTAGAGATATGTTATGATATGCCACAGAGTCTAGTCTACAGTCTATATCAGGCTCTGAGCCCAAACTGCTTTTCCTTCAGTTCCTTCGGAGCACGAAGCTCTCTGCTCCAAAGTGCCTCGTCCATGCTCCTGCAGCCGCTCATGTCCAAAACACACACACACGGACCAATCAAAGCGGAGCTTCTCTCACACACGGACCAATCAAAGCGGAGCTTCTCTCACACACGGACCAATCAAAGCGGAGCTTCTCTCACACACGGACCAATCACAGCGGAGCTTCTCTCACACACGGACCAATCACAGCGGAGCTTCTCTCACACACGGACCAATCACAGCGGAGCTTCTCTCACACACGGACCAATCACAGCGGAGCTTCTCTCACACACGGACCAATCACAGCGGAGCTTCTCTCACACACGGACCAATCACAACGGGGCTTCTCTCACACACGGACCAATCACAGCGCAGCTTCTCTCACACACGGACCAATCACAGCGCAGCTTCTCTCACACACGGACCAATCACAGCGCAGCTTCTCTCACACACAGACCAATCACAGCGCAGCTTCTCTCACACACGGACCAATCACAGCGCAGATTCTCTCACACACAGACCAATCACAGCGCAGCTTCTCTCACACACAGACCAATCACAGCGCAGCTTCTCTCACACACAGACCAATCACAGCGCAGCTTCTCTCACACACAGACCAATCACAGCGCAGATTCTCTGCTGCTGCGTAGTTAGAAAAAGGGTGCACTGGAGGCAGCACAAGGGTCCTGTGATCTTTGATGGTCACATGACACCAGGTGACACCAGGTGACACCAGGTGACACACAGCGCTTAAGAAACAGACATGGAAGCTCACAAACTCTGTTACTGGCATGTGAAAGCCAGATCCCACAGACCTTTGAAGCTAAGCAGGGCAGTGCCTAGTTAGTGCTGTGATGGGAGACCTCTGGGAGTCATCTTTGAGCATCCAGATAGTGATGTATTATTATTAATATTGTGTCTCTGTGTGTGTGTCTCTGTTTGTGTCTCTGTGTGCGTGTGTGCGTCTCTGTGTGTGTATGTGTGTGTGTCTCTGTGTGTGTGTGTGTGTGTGTGCGTCTCTGTTTGTGTATGTGTTTGTGTCTGTTTGTGTCTCTATGTATGTGTGTGCGTCTCTGTTTGTGTCTCTATGTATGTGTGTGCGTCTCTGTGTGTGTATGTGTGTGTCTCTGTGTGTGTAGTTCTGACGGCCGCGGTCACACAGGCCTCTCTTCAGTCCATGCTTCATAAGATCCTCACGGCCGGACCCTCTGCTTTCAACATCACCACGATCCTGTCTCAGGCGGCTCAGCTCTCCAGCCAAGGTGAGAGAGACCAGAGAGAGACCAGAGAGAGACCAGAGAGAGACCAGAGAGAGACCAGAGAGAGACCAGAGAGAGACCAGAGAGAGACCAGAGAGAGACCAGAGAAGACCTAGAGAGAGAGACCAGAGAGAGACCAGAGAGAGACCAGAGAGAGACCAGAGAGAGACCAGAGAGAGAGAGACCAGAGAGAGACCAGAGAAGAGAGACCAGAGAGAGACCAGAGAGAGACAGAGAGGAGACCAGAGAGAGACCAGAGAGAGACCAGAGAGGAGACCAGAGAGACCAGAGAGAGACAGAGAGAGACCAGAGAGAGAGACCAGAGAGAGAGAGACCAGAGAGAGACCAGAGAGAGACCAGAGAGAGACCAGAGAGAGACCAGAGAGAGAGACCAGAGAGAGACCAGAGAGAGAGACCAGAGAGAGACCAGAGAGAGACCAGAGAGAGACCAGAGAGAGAGACCAGAGAGAGAGAGACCAGAGAGAATAATTAAGCCTTTGGCCTGTTCCTAAATTCAATTCCAAAACACAAATCTGACTGAATTTTTTTGTGTGTCTCTGGGTGTGTTTGTGTGTGTGTCTCTGGCTGTGTTTGTGTGTCTCTGGGTGTGTGTGTCCCTGGGTGCTGGGTGTGTGTGTTTGTGTGTGTGTCTCTGGGTGTGTGTGTGTGTTGCAGCTGCCCAACAGTCCCAGTCTCCCATGTCGCTCACGTCAGACGCCTCCTCGCCGCGCTCCTACGTGTCTCCGCGCATCAGCACGCCACAAACCAACGCTGGACCCCTCAAACCCCTGCTCAACACACAACCTGTGCTGTCCCAGACCAAGGTACACACACACACAACCTGTGCTGTCCCAGACCAAGGTACACACACACACACACACAGACACACACACACACAAACCCGGTGGTCGCCGAGCTCGTTGTTCACTAGAGCAGTGTGTCTGAATCTGCCTTTTGTATGTGTTGTTTTAAGTTTTCTAACCGATTGAATCGTGAAGCCTTTAATGGATACTTTAGGATTCCTCATGAAGAGTGTCTCGCTAACACTTCACTGCAAACGCTTTTACCTCTAAGGATTATTTATTTACCTCTAAGGATTATTTATTTACCTCTAAGGATTATTTATTTACCTCTAAGGATTATTTATTTACCTCTAAGGATTATTTATTTACCTCTAAGGATTATTTATTTACCTCTAAGGATTATTTATTTACCTCTAAGGATTATTTATTTACCTCTAAGGATTATTTATTTACCTCTAAGGATTATTTATTTACCTCTAAGGATTATTTATTTACCTATAAGGATTATTTATTTACCTATAAGGATTACTTATTTACCTCTAAAGGGGCGTTCACACCGGACTTAACTTCGGCGTCAAAAGCGTCAGGTTTCCATTGAAAGTGAAAGGTGAAGCGCGTCAGGTGAAGCCGAGGGGCCCGGCGTCACTTGACGCGCGTCAAAAGCTTCAAGAGTCGCGCGTACTACGCGCTCACTTGAAGCTTTTGACGCGCGAAACGCTCGCGTATCACAACAATCCCTTTGACGCCGAAGTTGAGCAAAGCTGAGCTTTTGAAGCTTTGACGCGGGCTTCAACCAATCAGGAGACGAGGAGCAGCAGCAGCAGAGGGTCTGTCTCTGTCATGAAGAGAAGTCATGTATCTGCTGCTGCTGTTTTATTGTCATTATTGTTATTAGTAATATTATTTGTATGAGTAGTAACGTTCTGAGTAACAAAAACCATTGTACACATGCTGTGTAGTAAACGTAGTTTATTTAAAATAAGAACAGGCTGACGATGAGTCTGGCTCAGAGCAAGGCAGCTCTGGGCGGGTGAGAGCCGGGGAGAGGCAGGGAGAGGCGGGCGAGAGCCGGGGAGAGGCAGGGAGAGGCGAGAGAGAGCCGGGGAGAGGCAGGGAGAGGCGAGAGAGAGCCGGGGAGAGGCAGGGAGAGGCGAGAGAGAGCCGGGGAGAGGCAGGGAGAGGCGAGAGAGAGCCGGGGAGAGGCAGGGAGAGGCGAGCGAGAGCCGGGGAGAGGCAGGGAGAGGCGAGAGAGAGCCGGGGAGAGGCAGGGAGAGGCGAGAGAGAGCCGGGGAGAGGCAGGGAGAGGCGAGAGAAAGCCGGGGAGAGGCAGGGAGAGGCGAGAGAGAGCCGGGGAGAGGCAGGGAGAGGCGAGAGCGAGGCGGGGAGAGGCAGGGAGAGGCAGGGAGAGGCGAGAGAGAGCCGGGGAGAGGCAGGGAGAGGCGAGAGCGAGGCAGGGAGAGGCGAGCTCCGGGGTTTGAGAACTCAGACTGGGCAAGTGACATGCGGAAGTACCGCTGAAAGCGAAACTCCTCCGTACGCAGCTCCTGGAGTAAATGACGGAACTCTGCAAACACTGCAGCCTCTCAAGTCTGTGGTGAACCCAGAACATGTTTTGTTGAAGCCCTACAACAACGTTATTTTGCTTTATATAACAAATAAATGCTCGCTGCTCATTGAAAAATCCACCGCTGTCCTGACTACAGACAACAGAGAAGCTCCTCCCACAGACAACAGAGAAGCTCCTCCCACAGACAACAGAGAAGCTCCTCCCACAGACAACAGTGAAGCTCCTCCCACAGACAACAGAGACGCTCCTCCCACAGACAACAGAGAAGCTCCTCCCACAGACAACAGAGAAGCTCCTCCCACCGGCGTCAGGCGCGTCACTCGCGTCAAAAGCTTCAAGCACCAAAATGACAAAACTATCCCGGCGTCAGTTGAAGCGCGTCAAAAGCTTTTTGAAGCTTTTGGTCTGAACGCGCCTTAAGGATTATTTATTTACCTCTAAGGATTATTTATTTACCTCTAAGGATTATTTATTTACCTCTAAAGGCGCATTCAGACCAAAAGCTTCAAAAAGCTTTTGACGCGCTTCAACTGACGCCGGGATAGTTTTGTCATTTTGGTGCTTGAAGCTTTTGACGCGCCTGACGCCGGTGGGAGGAGCTTCTCTGTTGTCTGTGGGAGGAGCTTCTCTGTTGTCTGTGGGAGGAGCGTCTCTGTTGTCTGTAGTCAGGACAGCGGTGGATTTTTCAATGAGCAGCGAGCCTTTATTTGTTATATAAAGAAAAATAACGTTGTTGTAGGGCTTCAACAAAACATGTTCTGGGTTCACCACAGACTGAGGCTGCAGTGTTTGCAGAGTTCTGTCATTTACTCCAGGAGCTGCGTACGGAGGAGTTTCGCTTTCAGCGGTACTTCCGCATGTCACTTGCCCAGTCTGAGTTCTCAAACCCCGGAGCTCGCCTCTCCCCGTCTCTCCCCGGCTCTCCCCGGCTCTCCCCGCCTCTCCCTGCCTCTCCCTGCCTCTCCCTGCCTCTCCCTGCCTCTCCCCGGCTCTCCCTGCCTCTCCCTGCCTCTCCCTGCCTCTCCCCGGCTCTCCCCGGCTCTCCCCGCCTCTCCCTGCCTCTCCCCGCCTCTCCCCGCCTCTCCCTGCCTCTCCCTGCCTCTCCCTGCCTCTCCCCGCCTCGCTCTCGCCTCTCCCTGCCTCTCCCTGCCTCTCCCCGCCTCTCCCTGCCTCTCCCTGCCTCTCCCCGGCTCTCCCTGCCTCTCCCCGGCTCTCTCTCGCCTCTCCCTGCCTCTCCCCGGCTCTCTCTCGCCTCTCCCTGCCTCTCCCTGCCTCTCCCCGGCTCTCTCTCGCCTCTCCCCGCCTCTCCCCGCCTCTCCCTGCCTCTCCCCGGCTCTCTCTCGCCTCTCCCTGCCTCTCCCCGGCTCTCTCTCGCCTCTCCCTGCCTCTCCCCGGCTCTCTCTCGCCTCTCCCTGCCTCTCCCCGGCTCTCTCTCGCCTCTCCCTGCCTCTCCCCGGCTCTCTCTCGCCTCTCCCTGCCTCTCCCTGCCTCTCCCCGCCTCTCCCTGCCTCTCCCTGCCTCTCCCCGCCTCTCCCTGCCTCTCCCTGCCTCTCCCCGCCTCTCCCTGCCTCTCCCTGCCTCTCCCCGGCTCTCCCTGCCTCCTCTCCCGCCTCTCCCCGCTCTCCCTGCCTCTCCGCCTCTCCCGCCTCTCCCTGCCTCTCCCGCCTCTCCCTGCCTCTCCCTGCCTCTCCCTGCCTCTCCCTGCCTCTCCCGCCTCTCCCGGCTCTCCCTGCCTCTCCCCGGCTCTCCCTGCCTCTCCCTGCCTCTCCCCGGCTCTCCCTGCCTCTCCCTGCCTCTCCCCGGCTCTCCCTGCCTCTCCCCGGCTCTCCCTGCCTCTCCCCGCCTCTCCCTGCCTCTCCCTGCCTCTCCCTGCCTCTCCCTGCCTCTCCCCGGCTCTCCCTGCCTCTCCCCGGCTCTCCCTGCCTCTCCCCGCCTCTCCCTGCCTCTCCCCGGCTCTCCCTGCCTCTCCCCGCCTCTCCCTGCCTCTCCCTGCCTCTCCCTGCCTCTCCCTGCCTCTCCCCGGCTCTCCCTGCCTCTCCCCGCCTCTCCCTGCCTCTCCCTGCCTCTCCCTGCCTCTCCCTGCCTCTCCCTGCCTCTCCCCGGCTCTCTCTCGCCTCTCCCTGCCTCTCCCCGGCTCTCGCTCGCCTCTCCCCGCCTCTCCCCGGCTCTCGCCCGCCCGGAGCTGCCTTGCTCTGAGCCAGACTCATCGTCAGCCTGTTCTTATTTTAAATAAACTACGTTTACTACACAGCATGTGTACAATGGTTTTTGTTACTCAGAACGTTACTACTCATACAAATAATATTACTAATAACAATAATGACAATAAAACAGCAGCAGCAGATACATGACTTCTCTTCATGACAGAGACAGACCCTCTGCTGCTGCTGCTCCTCGTCTCCTGATTGGTTGAAGCCCGCGTCAAAGCTTCAAAAGCTCAGCTTTGCTCAGCTTCGGCGTCAAAGGGATTGTTTTGATACGTGAGCGTTTCGCGCGTCAAAAGCTTCAAGTGAGCGCGTAGTACGCGCGACTCTTGAAGCTTTTGACGCGCGTCAAGTGACGCCGGGCCCCTCGGCTTCACCTGACGCGCTTCACCTTTCACTTTCAATGGAAACCTGACGCTTTTGACGCCGAAGTTAAGTCCGGTGTGAACGCCCCTTAAGGATTATTTATTTACCTCTAAGGATTATTTATTTACCTCTAAGGATTATTTATTTACCCAGCCACGGAGTCACAATGCTCAGTTTTTACATCCCCGTCTTTAATGAACTGGATGAGTTTTAGATAAACACTGAGAATGTTTGAGCTGAAAAGAACAAAGCCACAGACGCAGTGTTCTGTTGAGACTGACACGTTCATTCATTAATACTTACTGACACGGCTCAGTACGAAGCAGGACGTGTCCTTCAGACGTGTCCCTTCAGGACGTGTCCCTTCAGGACGTGTCCCTTCAGGACGTGTCCTTCACGTGTCCTTCGGGACGTGTCCTTCAGGACGTGTCCCTTCAGGACGTGTCCTTCAGGACGTGTCCCTTCAGGACGTGTCCCTTCAGGACGTGTCCCTTCAGGACGTGTCCCTTCAGGACGTGTCCCTTCAGGACGTGTCCCTTCAGGACGTGTCCCTTCAGGACGTGTCCCTTCAGGACGTGTCCCTTCAGGACGTGTCCCTTCAGGACGTGTCCTTCAGGACGTGTCCCTTCAGGACGTGTCCCTTCAGGACGTGTCCCTTCAGGACGTGTCCCTTCAGGACGTGTCCTTCAGGACGTGTCCCTTCAGGACGTGTCCCTTCAGGACGTGTCCCTTCAGGACGTGTCCTTCAGGACGTGTCCCTTCAGGACGTGTCCCTTCAGGACGTGTCCTTCAGGACGTGTCCCTTCAGGACGTGTCCCTTCAGGACGTGTCCTTCAGGACGTGTCCCTTCAGGACGTGTCCCTTCAGGACGTGTCCTTCAGGACGTGTCCCTTCAGGACGTGTCCCTTCAGGACCTTTAGTCTGAGATCCTGAACCCACAGACGGAGAAGTTACAGCACCGTGTTTATCCAAACCTTCAGTTGTTTAAAGAGCAACAGCTTGATGGTAACACCAGCTGTGGGTTAGAATCTAAAGTGAAGAAAAAGACAGTGTCTTTAATTCAGACAGAATGTTTTATTGTCCATGGTAGCGGCACCATAAACACAGACGTTACAGAATGTTTTATTGTCCATGGTAGCGGCACCATAAACACAGACGTTACAGAATGTTTTATTGTCCATGGTAGAGGCACCATAAACACAGACGTAACAGAATGTTTTATTGTCCATGGTAGAGGCACCATAAACACAGACGTTACAGAATGTTTTATTGTTGATGGTAGAGGCACCATAAACACAGACGTTACAGAATGTTTTATTGTCGATGGTAGAGGCACCATAAACACAGACGTTACAGAATGTTTTATTGTCCATGGTAGCGGCACCATAAACACAGACGTTACAGAATGTTTTATTGTCGATGGTAGAGGCACCATAAACACAGACGTTACAGAATGTTTTATTGTCCATGGTAGCGGCACCATAAACACAGACGTTACAGAATGTTTTATTGTCGATGGTAGAGGCACCATAAACACAGACGTTACAGAATGTTTTATTGTCCATGGTAGCGGCACCATAAACACAGACGTTACAGAATGTTTTATTGTCGATGGTAGAGGCACCATAAACACAGACGTTACAGAATGTTTTATTGTTGATGGTAGAGGCACCATAAACACAGACGTTACAGAATGTTTTATTGTCCATGGTAGAGGCACCATAAACACAGACGTTACAGAATGTTTTATTGTCCATGGTAGAGGCACCATAAACACAGACGTTACAGAATGTTTTATTGTTGATGGTAGAGGCACCATAAACACAGACTTTACAGAATGTTTTATTGTCCATGGTAGAGGCACCATAAACACAAACGTTACAGAATGTTTTATTGTCGATGGTAGAGGCACCATAAACACAGACGTTACAGAATGTTTTATTGTTGATGGTAGCGGCACCATAAACACAGATGTTACAGAATGTTTTATTGTCGATGGTAGAGGCACCATAAACACAGACGTTACAGAATGTTTTATTGTTGATGGTAGAGGCACCATAAACACAGACGTTACAGAATGTTTTATTGTTGATGGTAGAGGCACCATAAACACAGACGTTACAGAATGTTTTATTGTCGATGGTAGAGGCACCATAAACACAGACGTTACAGAATGTTTTATTGTCGATGGTAGAGGCACCATAAACACAGACGTTACAGAATGTTTTATTGTTGATGGTAGAGGCACCATAAACACAGACGTTACAGAATGTTTTATTGTCCATGGTAGAGGCACCATAAACACAGACGTTACAGAATGTTTTATTGTCGATGGTAGCGGCACCATAAACACAGACGTTACAGAATGTTTTATTGTTGATGGTAGAGGCACCATAAACACAGACGTTACAGAATGTTTTATTGTCCATGGTAGAGACACCATAAACACAGACGTTACAGAATGTTTTATTGTCCATGGTAGAGGCACCATAAACACAGACGTTACAGAATGTTTTATTGTCGATGGTAGCGGCACCATAAACACAGACGTTACAGAATGTTTTATTGTTGATGGTAGAGGCACCATAAACACAGACGTTACAGAATGTTTTATTGTCCATGGTAGAGACACCATAAACACAGACGTTACAGAATGTTTTATTGTCCATGGTAGAGACACCATAAACACAGACGTTACAAAATGTTTTATTGTCGATGGTAGCGGCACCATAAGTAAGTGACATAAAGCGGAGGAATGGAGACTTATTAGCATTATTAGCATTATTAGCATGTTAGCATGTTAGCATTTACCGCGGTGCCAGTAGCTTCAAACCTGATATTACCAAAACAAGTCGTGTAAATATTCTGCCTTGTGCTTATTGTTAGAACGATGAGTTAGAACGTTCACCGCAGAAGCTTCGAAGTGTCATGAAATATCCAGAAAAGGAAAGAAATACTCGAAGACTCACATTTTCTCCACATCAGCAGCAACTCTTGTTGAACTGACTCCACTTCATCAACTGGAAGTTTATGCGTCACGTGACTGCGGACGGGGCCCAACTCCACCACAATAAAATACTTATATTACCAAAATAAAATACATATATTACCACAATAAAATACATATATTACCAAAATAAAATACATATATTACCACAATAAAATACATATATTACCACAATAAAATACATATATTACCACAATAAAATACATATATTACCCCAATAAAATACATATATTGCCACAATAAAATACATATATTACCACAATAAAATACATATATTGCCACAATAAAATACATATATTACCACAATATAAAAATACATATATTAGCATCATTGCTACAGAAGCTAAGGGTTAAACTATAGAATACAGCAGTGGCTTCTCGTCCAATCAGAACGTGAGGTGCACATGGTGTGATGTGGATGATCTTCAGCTGGTGTTTGTGTTTCTGTAGGTGAGCTCCTCCACAGTGAAGCAGGCGTCTCACCCCCAGTCTCACCCTCAGTCTCAGCCCCAGTCACACCCCCAGACTCAGCCTCACCCCCAGTCTCACCCCCAGCCTCACCCCCAGTCTCACCCCAGTCTCACCCCCAGTCTCACCCCCAGTCTCACCCCCAGTCTCACCCCCAGTCTCACCCCCAGTCTCACCCCCAGTCCTCACCCCCAGACTCACCCTCAGCCCTCATCGCAGCCGTCTGCCACCAGCGACAAACAGCACAGCCACGAGGCCTCGAGCTCCTCCCCCCGGACCCTGCAGCGACAGAGGTACAGCAGTCTTTTGTTTATCGCCAACAACAGATTAGAAAATCAAAATGTTCAAACCAGGGAGAGAGAGACCAGAGAGAGAAATATCAGGGCGAGAGAGACCAGAGAGATAAATGCATTATCAAACTGATATATTATTATTATTATAAATATCAGGGAGGAGAGACCAGAGAGAGACCAGAGAGAGACCAGAGAGAGACCAGAGAGAGACCAGAGAGAGACCAGAGAGAGACCAGAGAGAGACCAGAGAGAGACCAGAGAGAGACCAGAGAGAGAGAGACCAGAGAGGAGAGACCAGAGAGAGACCAGAGAGGAGAGACCAGAGAGAGACCAGAGAGGAGAGACCAGAGAGAGATCAGGAAGGAGAGGCCAGAGAGAGATCAGGAAGGAGAGGCCAGAGAGAGATCAGGAAGGAGAGGCCAGAGAGGAGAGACCAGCAACAGGTTAGAGAAGTTTGAACACAATAAATGGTGCAGCAGTAGGTTACATGTTCTGTATGGGTGGCTGAGTGGTTAGCACTCTCGCTTCTCAGCACAAAGGTCCTGGGTTCAAATCCCAGTCGGAACAGAGCCTTTCTGAGTGGAGTTTGCATGTTCTCCTCGTTTCAGCGTAGGTTTCCACTAAAACATGTGCAATAGGCCTGACCTGCGCCTCCTGTACTGACCCTGCTCCCAGCTCCAGAGACTAATGCCCAAAAATAACAATTGTAAAATGCTTTGTGACTCTGCTCTGTGAAAGGCGGTATATAATTATAGATTACTTACTGATAAATGTAGACTCCTCTGCAGCTCTGTGTCATGGCTCCATCTAGTGGCTGTTTCTCTGAATTACACTGAAGACACACATCTACACCTTTGTTTCTGCTTCTGTGATATTACGTTTAATTCAAATTATTTGTGTATTGCCCTAAATCTCAACAGATGTTATCTCAGAGGACTTAATTAAGCTGTCGATTCTCCATCACAGATCAGAGAATCAAACAGTTCAAACTGAGGAAATACAACAATAACAAACAGTCGTTAGTCCATTAGGACAGAACTAGTGTGATGGATCCTCTCTGAGCTAACCCAGGGTCTGTGTTGCAGCAGTCAGAGGAGTCCTTCCCCAGGGCCTCACCAGGGGCCTCACCAGGGGCCTCACCAGGGGCCTCACCAAGGGCCTCACCAGGGGCCTCACCAGGGGCCTCACCAGGGGCCTCACCAGGGGCCTCACCAAGGCTCCAACAGCACGTCGTCCTGTGGCAGTGGCTCTCGGGGCCCCTGCTCCCTCACCCCCTCCCTCTCTGCACACTTTAACGACAGCCTCATCAAACATGTGCAGGGCTGGCCCGCCGAGCACGTGGAGAAACAGGTACTGGACCAGAGGGAGACCAGAGGGAGACCAGAGGGAGACCAGAGGGAGACCAGAGGGAGACCAGAGGGAGAGACCAGAGAGAGAGACCAGAGGGAGAGACCAGAGAGAGAGACCAGAGAGAGAGACCAGAGAGACCAGCGAGAGAGACCAGCGAGAGAGACCAGCGAGAGAGACCAGCGAGAGAGACCAGCAAGAGAGACCAGAGGGAGAGACCAGAGGGAGAGACCAGAGGGAGAGACCAGAGGGAGAGACCAGAGAGAGAGAGACCAGAGAGAGAGAGACCAGAGGGAGAGACCAGAGGGAGAGACCAGAGAGAGAGAGACCAGAGGGAGAGACCGGACCATGCTGACATGTGTGTGTTCAGGCGTCCAGACTGCGTGAAGAGGCCCACACCATGGGGAGTATCTGTCTGTCAGATAACTGCACAGAACTGAAGAAGCTGCGCTCTCTGGTGCGAGTGTGTGAGGTGCAGGCCACGCTCCGGGAGCAGAGGTACCGCCTCCTCATACACCTCCTCATACACCTCCTCATACACCTCCTCATGCACCTCCTCATGCACCACCTCATGCACCTCCTCTGACACCTGCTCATACACCTCCTCATGCACCTCCTCATGCACCTCCTCATGCACCTACTCTGACACCTCCTCTGACAGCTCCTCATGCACCTCCTCATGCACCTCCTCATACACCTCCTCATACACCTCCTCATGCACCTCCTCATGCACCTACTCTGACACCTCCTCTGACAGCTCCTCATGCACCTCCTCATACACCTCCTCATACACCTCCTCATACACCTCCTCATGCACCTCCTCATGCACCACCTCATGCACCTCCTCTGACACCTGCTCATGCACCTCCTCATGCACCTCCTCATGCACCTACTCTGACACCTCCTCTGACAGCTCCTCATGCACCTCCTCATGCACCTCCTCATACACCTCCTCATACACCTCCTCATGCACCTCCTCATGCACCTACTCTGACACCTCCTCACACACCTCCTCTGACACCTCCTCTTATGATGCGTTCAGACGCCGACGCTGGTGCGCAGCTTCCACGCGCACTAGACGCACATTCTCTAAATTTCAGACTCAGGGCTGTTCAGACCAGAAGGTGGGAGTGCTTCGATGCTAACGGAGCTAAGCTAGCGGCGTTTTGTGTAAAGTTCTTCTCTAAGAATGCAGCTTTACATTATATAACAGCAGTATGTGTTCACGGAGGTGACTTTATATAACAGCAGTATGTGTTCACGGAGGTGACTTTATATAACAGCAGTATGTGTTCCCGGAGGTGACTTTATATAACAGCAGTATGTGTTCACGGAGGTGACTTTATATAACAGCAGTATGTGTTCACGGAGGTGACTTTATATAACAGCAGTATGTGTTCACGGAGGTGACTTTATATAACAGCAGTATGTGTTCACGGAAGTGACTTTATATAACAGCAGTGTGTGTTCACGGAGGTGACTTTATATAACAGCAGTATGTGTTCACGGAGGTGACTTTATATAACAGCAGTATGTGTTCACGGAGGTGACTTTATATAACAGCAGTATGTGTTCCCGGAGGTGACTTTATATAACAGCAGTATGTGTTCATGGAGGTGACTTTATATAACAGCAGTATGTGTTCACGGAGGTGACTTTATATAACAGCAGTATGTGTTCACGGAGGTGACTTTATATAACAGCAGTGTGTGTTCACGGAGGTGACTTTATATAACAGCAGTATGTGTTCACGGAGGTGACTTTATATAACAGCAGTATGTGTATACTTTATATAACAGTAGTATGTGTTCACGGAGGTGACTTTATATAACAGCAGTATGTGTTCACGGAGGTGACTTTATATAACAGCAGTATGTGTTCACGGAGGTGACTTTATATAACAGCAGTGTGTGTTCACGGAGGTGACTTTATATAACAGCAGTATGTGTTCACGGAGGTGACTTTATATAACAGCAGTATGTGTTCACGGAGGTGACTTTATATAACAGCAGTATGTGTTCCCGGAGGTGACTTTATATAACAGCAGTATGTGTTCACGGAGGTGACTTTATATAACAGCAGTGTGTGTTCACGGAGGTGACTTTATATAACAGCAGTGTGTGTTCACGGAGGTGACTTTATATAACAGCAGTATGTGTTCACGGAGGTGACTTTATATAACAGCAGTATGTGTTCATGGAGGTGACTTTATATAACAGCAGTATGTGTTCACGGAGGTGACTTTATATAACAGCAGTATGTGTTCCCGGAGGTAACTTTATATAACAGCAGTATGTGTTCACGGAGGTGACTTTATATAACAGCAGTATGTGTTCACGGAGGTGACTTTATATAACAGCAGTATGTGTTCACGGAGGTGACTTTATATAACAGTAGTATGTGTTCATGGAGGTGACTTTATATAACAGCAGTATGTGTATGGAGGTGACTTTATATAACAGCAGTATGTGTATACTTTATATAACAGCAGTATGTGTTCACGGAGGTGACTTTATATAACAGTAGTATGTGTTCATGGAGGTGACTTTATATAACAGCAGTATGTGTTCATGGAGGTGACTTTATATAACAGCAGTATGTGTTCCCGGAGGTGACTTTATATAACAGCAGTATGTGTTCATGGAGGTGACTTTATATAACAGCAGTATGTGTTCACGGAGGTGACTTTATATAACAGCAGTGTGTGTTCACGGAGGTGACTTTATATAACAGCAGTATGTGTTCACGGAGGTGACTTTATATAACAGCAGTATGTGTTCATGGAGGTGACTTTATATAACAGCAGTATGTGTTCACGGAGGTGACTTTATATAACAGCAGTATGTGTTCCCGGAGGTAACTTTATATAACAGCAGTATGTGTTCACGGAGGTGACTTTATATAACAGCAGTATGTGTTCACGGAGGTGACTTTATATAACAGCAGTATGTGTTCACGGGTGTGACTTTATATAACAGCAGTATGTGTTCATGGAGGTGACTTTATATAACAGCAGTATGTGTATGGAGGTGACTTTATATAACAGCAGTATGTGTATACTTTATATAACAGCAGTATGTGTTCACGGAGGTGACTTTATATAACAGTAGTATGTGTTCATGGAGGTGACTTTATATAACAGCAGTATGTGTTCACGGAGGTGACTTTACATAACAGTAGTATGTGTTCACGGAGGTGACTTTATATAACAGTAGTATGTGTTCATGGAGGTGACTTTATATAACAGCAGTATGTGTATGGAGGTGACTTTATATAACAGCAGTATGTGTATACTTTATATAACAGCAGTATGTGTTCACGGAGGTGACTTTATATAACAGTAGTATGTGTTCATGGAGGTGACTTTATATAACAGCAGTATGTGTTCATGGAGGTGACTTTATATAACAGCAGTATGTGTTCACGGAGGTGACTTTATATAACAGTAGTATGTGTTCATGGAGGTGACTTTATATAACAGCAGTATGTGTTCATGGAGGTGACTTTATATAACAGCAGTATGTGTTCCCGGAGGTGACTTTATATAACAGCAGTATGTGTTCATGGAGGTGACTTTATATAACAGCAGTATGTGTTCCCCGAGGTGACTTTATATAACAGCAGTATGTGTTCACGGAGGTGACTTTATATAACAGTAGTATGTGTTCCCGGAGGTGACTTTATATAACAGTAGTATGTGTTCATGGAGGTGACTTTATATAACAGCAGTATGTGTTCATGGAGGTGACTTTATATAACAGCAGTATGTGTTCACTGTGACTTTATATAACAGCAGTATGTGTTCATGGAGGTGACTTTATATAACAGCAGTATGTGTTCACGGAGGTGACTTTATATAACAGCAGTATGTGTTCCCGGAGGTGACTTTATATAACAGCAGTATGTGTTCCCGGAGGTGACTTTATATAACAGCAGTATGTGTTCACAGTGACTTTATATAACAGCAGTATCTGATTGGTCCCGAGGAAGAAGTTGAACAATGTTTATCTCCTGAGACGCTCAGGTTCACGATCGGACGCATTGAAAGTCGCCGCAGCAGGATCTGGTCCTAACGCCTCATTACACCTCCTCCTGCTCCTCACACCTCCTCTTACACCTCCTCCTGCTCCTCACACCTCCTCTTACACCTCCTCCTGCTCTTCACACCTCCTCTTACACCTCCTCCTGCTCTTCACACCTCCTCTTACACCTCCTCCTGCTCCTCACACCTCCTCTTACACCTCCTCCTGCTCCTCACACCTCTTACACCTCCTCCTGCTCCTCACACCTCCTCTTACACCTCCTCCTGCTCCTCACACCTCCTCTTACACCTCCTCTGTGCTCCTCTGTCGCAGGATACTGTTTCTGAGACAACAAATCAAAGAACTGGAGAAGCTGAAGAACCAGAACTCCTTCATGGTCTGAGCTGTGGCTGCGAGGACCAGGTGAATATTGCACAGATGGAGGCAGACGTTCTCTGGAGCCCCATCCTCACAGGAGGTAGGCCTGCTCTGGTCCTGGACTGGTCCTGGACTGGTCCTGGACTGGTCCTGGACTGGGTCTGCACTGGGCCCCTGTGGACCTGCTGTAGACCTGCTGTGGACTAATGTGGACCTGCTTTGGACCCCTGAGGACCCGCTCTGGACCTCTGTGGACCTACTGTGGACCCCTGAGGCCCGCTGGGGACCCCTGAGGCCTGCTGTGGACCCGTGAGGACCCCTGAGGCCCGCCGTGGACCTCTGAGGACCCGTGAGACCCGCGGGAGGACCAGGAGCTGAGGCTGATGTAGATTCCTGTAGATGTTCTCTGTTGTACATATGTTTTGTAGATTGAAGCCATGGAAAGCCGTGTCTATCAAAGACTCAAACTAATCACAGGCTGCTCCATCTCCGTCTGCGGGTCCTGCTGCGGCGCTGACCAGAGGATTATCATACCATCAAGCTACACACCATCAAGGGGCAAGGGCCCTCTGCACAGACACACACATCGCTCTTTGGTCTCTCTCTGGTCTCTCTCCCTGGTCTCTCTCTGGTATCTCTCTGGTCTCTCTCTCTGGTCTCTCTCTCTGGTCTCTCCCTGGTCTCTCTCTGGTCTCTCTCTCTGGTCTCTCCCTGGTCTCTCTCTGGTCTCTCTCTCTGGTCTCTCTCTCTGGTCTCTCCCTGGTCTCTCTCTGGTATCTCTCTGGTATCTCTCTGGTATCTCTCTGGTCTCTCTCTCTGGTCTCTCTCTCTGGTCTCTCCCTGGTCTCTCTCTGGTCTCTCTCTCTGGTCTCTCTCTGGTATCTCTCTGGTCTCTCTCCCTGGTCTCTCCCTGGTCTCTCTCTGGTCTCTCTCTGGTCTCTCTCTGGTCTCTCCCTGGTCTCTCTCTGGTATCTCCCTGGTGTCTCTCTGGTCTCTCTCTCTGGTCTCTCTCTGGTCTCTCCCTGGTCTCTCTCTGGTCCTCCCTGGTCTCTCTCTGGTCTCTCTCTGGTCTCTCTCTGGTCTCTCTCTGGTCTCTCTCTGGTCTCTCTCTGGTCTCTCTCTGGTCTCTCTCTCTGGTCTCTCCCTGGTCTCTCTCTGGTCTCTCTCTCTGGTCTCTCTCTGGTATCTCTCTGGTCTCTCTCCCTGGTCTCTCCCTGGTCTCTCTCTGGTCTCTCTCTGGTCTCTCTCTGGTCTCTCCCTGGTCTCTCTCTGGTATCTCCCTGGTGTCTCTCTGGTCTCTCTCTCTGGTCTCTCTCTGGTCTCTCCCTGGTCTCTCTCTGGTCTCTCCCTGGTCTCTCTCTGGTCTCTCTCTGGTCTCTCTCTGGTCTCTCTCTGGTCTCTCTCTGGTCTCTCTCTGGTCTCTCTCTGGTCTCTCTCTGGTCTCTCTCCCTGGTCTCTTGCTGGTCTCCCTCTGGACCAGGAGGGCTAACCACTCAGCCACTAGGCTGCCCCAAAACTTCGCTCACTGCAGTTTTAACAATGGTTTTAAAGATAAAATTGATAAAAAATGAAATTGAAACATTTTAGCAAATTATATAAAAAACACTCACACACAGACACACACACACACACACAGTCCCTGGTTCAGCGCCCCCTGTTGCTATGGTGACCATGCATTTCCCAGTCTGAATAAACTACAGTGCCTGGCCTCGTGCCGGAGAGTGAGTGATGAGACGTGTGCGGGGGGAGAGGGGTGAGGGAGGGGTGAGGAGGAGGGGGGAGGGAGGGGGAGTGAGTGAGGGAGGGGCGTGCTGCTTTATTTTTATTATTATTCCTCCTTTTCGGACCACCCCCGGCCTCCTCCGTCCCGGGCCACACCTGCCTGTCTGCTTCACACTCTGCGTCTCTCCTCTGTCTGTCTCTGACCTGGGGCTGTGTTTAGCTCCATCCAGGCTGTAGCCCCGCGCCCTTCTCTCCCACTGCTGTGATGTCACACTCGGAGCAGTTTCTGTTTTTAAAATGAGGTGAGGAGAGGGTTGTTACGATCCCGAGTCTCAGATCTGTGTCGTTTGTCAGTTTTGGTTCCAAGTTTAGTTTAGTTTTGGTTGAAGATTTAAAACTTGACAAATTACAACAAAAGTTCCAGGTCTTTCCAAGCAACACTTCAGTCTTAATCCAACACAAGTTTCACTGTTAATTATTGTTTTAGTTCATGAATCTGTCGGGCAGAGAGCGGTGCGGAGAGAGAGACCCATCTGTGGAGAGAGAGAGCAGAGTGGAGAGAGAGAGACCCATCTGTGGAGAGAGAGACCCATCTGTGGAGAGAGAGAGACCCATCTGTGGAGAGAGAGAGCAGAGTGTGGAGAGAGAGACCCATCTGTGGAGAGAGAGAGAGACCCATCTGTGGAGAGAGAGAGCAGAGTGGAGAGAGAGAGACCCATCTGTGGAGAGAGAGAGCAGAGTGTGGAGAGAGAGACCCATCTGTGGAGAGAGAGAGCAGAGTGGAGAGAGAGAGAGACCCATCTGTGGAGAGAGAGAGCAGAGTGGAGAGAGAGAGAACCATCTGTGGAGAGAGAGAGCAGAGTGGAGAGAGAGAGACCCATCTGTGGAGAGAGAGAGCAGAGTGGAGAGAGAGAGACCCATCTGTGGAGAGAGAGAGCAGAGTGGAGAGAGAGAGGCCTCCAGGTGAAATGTGAAATGTATGTATTGTAATAAACATATTCGAATAAACGTTTGGTTTGAGTTTTTCAGACTCGAAAGAAACTAATCCAGGTCACAACAAGACCGAGGCTGTAGACCCAGGACTGAGGCTGTAGACCCAGGACTGAGGCTGTAGACCCAGGACTGAGGCTGTAGACCCAGGACTGAGGCTGTAGACCCAGGACTGAGACTGTAGACCCAGGACTGAGGCTGTAGACCCAGGACCGAGGCTGTAGACCCAGGACTGAGGCCGTACACCCAGGACTGAGGCTGTAGACCCAGGACTGAGGCCGTAGACCCAGGACTGAGGCTGTAGACCCAGGACTGAGGCTGTAGACCCAGGACTGAGGCTGTAGACCCAGGACTGAGGCTATAGACCCAGGACTGAGGCTGTAGACCCAGGACTGAGGCTGTAGACCCAGGACTGAGGCTGTAGACCCAGGACTGAGGCTGTAGATCCAGGACTGAAGCTGTAGACCCAGGACTGAGGCTGTAGACCCAGGACTGAGGCTGTAGACCCAGGACTGAAGCTGTAGACCCAGGACTGAGGCTGTAGACCCAGGACTGAGGCTGTAGACCCAGGACTGAGGCTGTAGACCCAGGACTGAGGCCGTAGACTCAGGACTGAGGCCGTAGACCCAGGACTGAGGCCGTAGACCCAGGACTGAGGCCGTAGACCCAGGACTGAGGCCGTAGACCCAGGACTGAGGCCGTAGACCCAGGACTGAGGCTGTAGACCCAGGACTGAGACTGTAGACCCAGGACTGAGGCTGTAGACCCAGGACTGAGGCTCTAGACCCAGGACTGAGGCTGTAGACCCAGGACTGAGGCTGTAGACCCAGGACTGAGGCTGTAGACCCAGGACTGAGGCTGTAGACCCAGGACTGAGGCTGTAGACCCCAGAATCATGACTTAAACCATGCAGTGGTTCTCAAACTGAGGTCCTAGTCATTTGAAAAAATAAAAAAAAAGCAACAGAAAATGTTGTTGAAATTCACGTATTTGACCCAAAACGTGATTGGGTAAAACTACTCTAATACTCTGCGTTACATGCTGTTGACCAGGAGGGGGCGCTCTCCTGCTGTTCCTCTGTCCGCCTCTAGAGGGAGACAGCGGTTTGTGAGTCCTACACCTGGTCATCGGTTGGGTTTGGATCACAGACTGTAAATATCAGGGACGTGCGGTGAGGTTTGTGATTGGGGAGGCACTGACTTTAAAAGTCAGATTTACAATCATTATTCAAATAAAATAGCATTTAATCACCAATGCAATGACATCCACAAACTTTATATACTGTAAAGATAAGAGAACCAGCTTCTTTTAATAATCTCACAACAAATCTAGCTGCTGACTCTGCTCCGCATCAAACAACATCTTTAAGAAGCGCAGGTGCGAGAGACGCGAGGAGAGAGAGACGCGAGGAGAGAGGAGCAGAGAGAGACAGAGAGGAGCAGAGAGAGACAGAGAGGAGCAGAGAGACGGAGACGCGAGGAGCAGAGAGAGACGGAGACGCGAGGAGAGAGAGACGCGAGGAGAGAGGAGCAGAGAGAGACAGAGACGCGAGGAGCAGAGAGAGACAGAGAGGAGCAGAGAGAGACAGAGAGGAGCAGAGAGACGGAGACGCGAGGAGCAGAGAGAGACGGAGACGCGAGGAGAGAGAGAGCAGAGAGAGACAGAGAGGAGCAGAGAGAGAGAGAGAGGAGCAGAGAGACGGAGACGCGAGGAGAGAGAGACGCGAGGAGAGAGAGACGCGAGAGAGAGAGACGCGAGAGAGAGAGAGAGACGCGAGGAGAGGAGAGACGCGAGAGAGAGAGAGAGAGCGCCGAGGAGAGAGAGACAGAGAGGAGCAGAGAGACAGAGAGGAGCAGAGAGAGACAGAGAGGAGCAGAGAGACGGAGACGCGAGGAGAGAGAGACGCGAGGAGAGAGAGACGCGAGGAACATAAACAATAATTTAAACAAGTTGCAGAACTCTTGAGCAGTGTTTGAATCAGTGTTTTTCGGAAAAGCACTACTTTAATGTTCAACATAAAACACAGATTAACAAACTCCTCCCCCGCAGCCGGACTAACCTCGTAAGTCCAGTGGTGGTCTCCCAGTCTATATTAATTCTTTCTTTGTTTGAAAGTCCAATTGAGAAAAAAAATCTTCATTCAAATCATCCATTTTCCAGCAAAAGAAATAGCATTTTGGGCTGATTGTTTGTTAGCAACTCTGGTATGAACTTTATGCTCACTATCACCCCTAGCGGTGAGGCACAGATACCGCCTGCCTCACGCCAAGCTTTTTCCTTGTGTGTTCATCTACGATCAAAAGACTTAAACTA